TGATGATGATGATGATGATGATGATGATGATGATGATGATGAGACTCCCGAGGTTTCACAGGCAGGCAGAAAAATTTCAAGCACCATATCAACAACAAGGTTAAAGAGGAAATGGAAAAGAGGACAACCTTGTCTTACATCACTGGACTTGGTGAATTCTGGTGAGAGGGAAAGAAATTTGGAAGGGGCGCCTTTGATCGTTACACTGCCGAAGTTAGTGGCAATCGACAAAATACAAGGCAGCTGTCAAATCCAGAAAAACGACCAACGTGGGACGCCCAAAGTAGAGGAGTCATTCATGAATTTGTCTCAAGGTAAAGATACGGTCGATGCATCCCCGTCCAGGGCGAAACCCAGCTTGATTCTCACGAATTAGTCTCTCGCGATAATCCATTAACCTGCGAAAAATAATGCCAGAGAGCACTTCAGATGCGGCGGATAGCAAGCTGATACCACGATGATTTTCACATGACGTTCTTTCTCCCGTTTTGGAAATTGGGAAGGAGGAGCTCCATTCGACTGGTATTCTGTTTTCGTTCCAAATCTTCTGCAGTATGGTCGTCAGATTGTTCACCAGGACCTCGCCACCTTCTTTGAAGAGTACGGGGTGTAGACCATCCGAACCAGGTGCCTTGTCGCGCTTCGGGATTGAAATCTCACGCTGGATTTCGGTTGCTAATGGTGGGTTGATATCAATGTTCCATTCGGGCCCGCTATGTTCTTCCAGCAATTGTGTTGAAGGAGACCAGGCGAACTGTTCTTCAAAGTGCTCAGCCCACCTCTCAAGACGAAGATTGAAGGAGTGAATTGCTGTTCCGTCTTTCCCGCATATTGTCTCACTGACACCTGCCTCCTTTTGACCCATTGATCGAATAAGTCGAAATGGAGCGCGGCTGTTGCCTACAGCGAAGGCCTTCTCCATCTTCTGGGCGTTCGAAACCCACCAGCGTTCTCTGTCATTCTTCAAGCTCCTGATTATCCGATGTTTGAGGGATATGCGTGCCTCATCATAGTCGCTAGTTGCTGGCATGGCTTTTCGGGCAGCAATAAGATCTGCTGATCTCGAAGATATCCAGTGTTCATTGAGTCGAATCAGATGGGTTAAACAAACAGTTCTGAAAGCTGAAATCACTGCTTCTTTAACTCGCCTCCATTAATTCTCCAAGCAATCTTTGTCGTCTATATGACTAGCGTTTCCAGTAGTTTTCTAGCCAGATAAGCTCGATATTTTTCAGCTACTGAAACTTGTCGAAGTTGATGAACTGCATTACTATCTTTCGGTATGCGCAGTGCTGGCGGAAAGCGAAGTGCTAAACGGGCCCGCACGATGGCGCGATCAGAGTCAAGTTGTGTAACCCTTAACTGAGGCTCTCCATCGGTAACTGATAGCCTTATGGTCCACGACTGTTATGTGGTAGGTGGCCTCCAAGTAATTCGGTGTGTGCGTTTGTGTTGGAAGTTCGTACTGGCCAGGAACAGACGGTGATCTGCACACAACTGAAAAAACCACCCTCCATCATCCGTACGCTCAGCATCGACACCAAATCGACAACCTAACTGTACTTCACCCGGACTTAGTCGTCCAACTTGGGCATCGATATCACCCGCCATGATTACTGCATCCATCCATCTTGCCAACCGAAGCAGTCGTGACAGATCTTGATAAAACTCGTCGTTTTCAGTCTCAGAACTGCTATCTGTTGGGGCATATGCTGATAAGACAAACCAGCACCGTTTACCACATCGACCTGCGTTAATCTCAATTGAGCCAGATAATCGCACAGCACAAAGGCGACTGTTTACTGGGATCCAGTCCAGTAAGACGCTTGCAGCCTTGGGGATGAGTGCAACTCCCACATCGTAGATACCACGAGTCGTTGCGTCAGGATCACCAGATGCCCGAAGGGTGAAATACGCTCGTCCTAAGCGGCTTGAGGAGCACGACCAAACTGGCATCTTGTATGCCCATTTCGGAGACACAACATACATCGATAGAGAGAGAAATTAAGGTCTCAGCAATTGATGCCTGTTGCCCAATTTGACATAGAGTACGGACATTGAAGACTGCAACGTGAATGCGATCTTTTGAGGTTAGTAGATGATTATTTTGATTTATTTCTCTGGGCGATGTCTGAGACACGGAACAGTGGCTAGAGGATTGGCAGATGGGTTGATTGCACTGCACGATGGGTTGGGATGGAATGAGAGGGAAGACTGGTGAGTGAAGAGCTGAAAGGGTAAATGATACTTTCCGGTTGCACAGGCCGAAGAAGGGGTACTCGATCTTGAGCCCTTGACTCTAAAGTCTGACCCACAAGGCAGTGGGAAGATGTAGGGTTTTTTCAGGGGCCCTGGCCTCGTCTCTGACTCAAAAGTCAGGACCGCGAGATAGCGGTTGTTAGGGTTTTTTTTTTAGGGACGCCTCCCGGAGCCAATAGTCTGACTTACTTGGCTGTGGGCGGCTGGCCTGGCCCGAAGGCGCAGGGAGTGAGGCATTATTGTTTCACTCCTGATGCGGCTGCGCACAGCAGGTGCCTTTTGAGCAGCTCTTTGGTTTTCGACCGTATTGAATAATGCGCCGGCGGTTACGGTCAACCGTTGGGCAATCGGAGTGTGCGATTTTCGGGTCGGCATTTCTAACGCATGCTTCCTTGGGAAAAGGTAACATTGCTGCTTCCATTAAATATGGACATGCTGGTCACCTGAGTGGATACCTTACTGCCTTCACATTCCCATCACAGAGAACAGTATGGCTTTATCTCCAAACCGGCAACCAAATGAAAAACTACGCCTGTTTACGCAAACGCTGACAGTCAGACTAGTGAAATTTTAGCCGACAGTGAAGCAACTGGTCGAATCTGAAAACTCTATAGAGAGATAAAGATAACTTCACAAACGAAATAGTCTTAAAATTCCGATGCATCTATATCCTTTACCAATCTTATGCATATGGAAAGTTATTTGGAGCGGAACTAACTGGAGACCAAGATGGTGTGCAGAAACAATCGTACAGAATCATCAAATATAATGAATATTCTCTTTGCATATTGGTGTTAGACATTCAACAACTCATTCGTTTCCAGCTCAAAATGAAGGGAGTAGCTATTGACGAAATTGGTGTTTGCTAGTAGGTGATCCAGGATAATATAATATGCACGCAATACTTTGTGAAGGAAAAACGTGAAAAATAAACTGCTAAAGCTGTGTTTATTGCGCCCTTGAAAACAGTAAAATTCCAACATAAGGAAAGACCTTCCAGACAACGAAGTTCCATTTGTCCAGGTAAGCGTGGTAGAAACTCAAATGTGATGGCTCACCTGACCGTTGGAGTTAGTCAGTTCAGGTAAAGACCGCCATGGAGTAGATCGGATAGCTTTATCTAGACGGGCAAGTGTGTTTTGGCACTCCGATACGGTTACCCTCACCAACGACTTGTACTGTGGATTGGATGATAGCATGCGGGCAAATAACATGCGCGCCCGCAAATAGTAGCCAGTAGGCCATAGCCATTCAGGACCCTGAATTCAACAGACATGTAAAATGAACAATATTAAAAAAGGTAAGGCGAAGTGATTTCTTCGATAGTACAATGGATAAAACAGGAACTTTGTCTACTTCTCAGCTTGCCGCGGTTCCCGTAGAGGAATTGATAAGCACCAAGCCTATTGATTTTGTATTTGGAAATGTTAATTATGAAGGTAGAATGTGATCCGCCTTGGGAGCCTTTTTAGAACTGAACACACTCTGTCATTAGTATGTGAGATACGGATGGTCAGAGCGTAAAGCGAACGAATGAGCTATCCGAAGGTGAGACAAGCATGACTAGCGAGATGTAAACATTTAACTTGTCCTCCTCAGTCACGGGTGTAAGAGACGTAGAGCAACAAACTGAGGAAGAAAAAGCTTACCTTCCAACTTTTCCTTAGGAAAGGAATAGACATCAGTAATTTGAGATCCAGCAATCAAATATCAAGATAACCATAACAGGTTGACATCCGTCTTCCAAAAACACTAAGAAATTCGCCACTGGGCTACTCTAATCAATTATCTCACACTAAAGGGACAAACGGATTTTCGAACCAAACGGAACATAATGCCCACCGGTCGTCATCATCACCATAATCATCATAAATAAATAGTAAAAAAAAATAAACGTCCATCTGTAATATCCTTTTAGTGCCTAGATATCGTGCCACCCGAGGGAAGCCATCTGCATAAATAATCTTTGACATTGTACCCTGGTGCGACCCATCGCCTAGAACCGCCTCCCGGATGCGTCAAAAAGTTAGTTTTCTAGTTAGTTTTTCTCTGAATATAATGTTTCTATCCACGACAAGGAATTCGGAAAATAACCGATTCTGAAAAATTGGATTCACTTTAACAAGCAAAATTAACTATTATGCTTAACGTGTCATCAATGATCGTGTAGTACATTTGGCCTTTTGGTCAACATGGCTGTTGATAAATCCGCCACGGAAATAGATTAGGAGGGTTTGTTATTACTTTGGAATGCCTAGATCCGTGTCCTCTTAATGAACTTGATTGTATTCACGAGCGAACTGGCATCTGACAATAGACACAAAGTACTTTTCAAGATCGGATCGGAGATCGATTACCTCTAATGGTTCACATCGGATGCACTTGTGTTTACATGTATATCCGATTTCGAGCGTATTCAATCTCGTCATGAATACGGACATCATTCAATAGCAAACACAAATGGTTAGTGTGCAACCTCAACCGATTTCGCAGCCGGCCACGCCTTGATGTTTTCTGTGAATCTTGTCGAAATTGGCAACCAAAGTGTTTCAGGGCTCATTCCTCGTAAAAACTTTTGGGATCTCAATAACTCCGTCCTTTGATTAAACGTATATATAATATATATATATATATATATAATAAAAAATTAGATGATGTCAACCTGTCTGTGGTCGCGTTTCTGCCGTGAAGGATGACGGTCTTAAAAGGATAAAGTGTTCACTCGTGTGAATGCAAAAAAAGCCGTTGCTGAAGACCAAGCTGGTTGCTGCAAGATAAAGAAATAAAATTGTCAGAAATTGGATTGAGGATGAATTCAGATAAAATCTGACGCTAGGTTATCAACGAGAAGTGGGAACCGTTGAGGCGCAACAAGTGAAAAAGCTAACCTGGTGGTAATTAAATCCCTTGGATGTGTGATAGTCGGTAGAGTCAACATCGTTACGGTAATCACCATGGTAGGCCATGTCGTTATTTCCCAGGGTACGCATGCCAAATGGACCGGCGAGACGCTCGCGGGCGATTTCCAGGGCGTTCCACGCACGCTCCGGTGTAAATAAGGTGGGGGCCTGAGGACGATAAAAATCAATTGTGAAGGTTTCAACGATTCAACTCGTAATTGTCTACAGTCCATAAACACTGTAAGCGTCTAAGAGATTATAAAAAATGGATTAAGCTTAGAATCCAAACTCTCTATGGCAATAACAATTTCTAGAATTTAGGGAACTCAAGCGCTTTCTAAAAAAACCCACAAACTTCAGAGTGTGCACTTTTTCCACACCTTTAGAAAGGAACTTTCTTACGAATGACTGATCCCCTACGGTCCCGGTGTGCAGACCAGGACCCTTGATGGAGAGAACTCCTCATGCCATAAAGGTGTTCTCTGAGTTAAAAAAAGTGCATCGCACTGAAACTCCACAATTCAGACGTACTCTGCCGAAAGAAAGCACAGTTACACAATACAAGTGAAAAAAGCTAGGGACAGAAACTGTCTCCCGCTTACCAGAGGGAGCGAATAACCAGACACTGGAATCACACTTAGACGCTCAGTATCCGCGGGCCACTCGCCACTAAAAGCCGAAGGCTTTTAGTCTGAAGTGATATTCACGTGGGCTGGATTTCGTATATTTTCAAGAGTTTACGTATGCCTGTTATTAGCATTAGCCTTTTCTAATGCATTGTCAATTAGGGCTCCCCATTGAAAATTCGTCCAGTCCACTTATTTAGAGTGAAAATTTGTTTCGCTCTCCTGTGCATCAAAGCTCTAAGGGAGGAACAGATGACTGAGATAACTGAGTTTTAATGAATGATCCGATTCAGAATAATTCACTGGCGGGACGGTACACCCAACCGTTGTAACCTTTTCAGTCAGCTTCCTTCTCAGATAGTAGTGTGGTGCTCAGATGGCTGAATTGAACGAACAGCTCCGATTAAGCACACAACTAAGCATATAAAACAAATTCACTAAGTTTAAAGGCGTAGGCGAGGTGTAGGCTAGAAAGCACAGACCGACGACGCATAATCGCTATCGGGTAACCGAGCCATCTGAGACCAGACAAAGAGCGGATCGTTACAACAGAGCATTTAGCAACATAATTCCGAATGGATAACTGGATGATACATGCGGACTGGACTATGGCTTACCATCTCAAAAATGAAAGTACCAGATCGTTTCAGAGAGGTTTGGTAAACAATCGGTGGATTTATTGCTGGGCAACATTTGGTTCCCTGACTGCCTTAAAACCCAATCAACCTACTTACTTACTCACTTGGCCTGACGAAGCTTTTGTGTAAAAAGCGAAACGGTGTCCAGCAATAAATCCGCCGATTGTTTACCAGACCTCTCTGAAACGTTGACTACTCAATGGGTCCCAAACATTTTCCAATTGATTGAAAACATCTACGGACCATGTGTTCGGAATAAGTCAAGTGAATATGTTCGATTGGCAAGATTGGAGGCAAACTGGGAAAACCATCGCGTTTTCAACATTGGATGCATGAAGCATAACATAATTCCCAAATCTCTGGTTGTTAAGCCACCAGATGCGTCCCCCGCTTCTGTCCGAATTGCTTTCTCAGTGGTCAAGTGACTCCTCAGACAGAGGACCCATTTAAGCACCCAACGTTAAACTGATATCCGCCACCGCGCATGTCGTCCAAAACATGAACTTCAGTCCGCACTCCCGCCTGCTGAATTCGAATTACTAAATACCAAAATGCAAGGAAAAACAAATACGTGAGTTCGAGAAATTGTTTTCTATGACTCGCTGTTCCAGTAACAAAAGAGAGAAGAGTAAGCCATCTGCTAGCTATTGCAGCGTAACTTATCAGATAGACCCTTAAGTGAAGAGCAACGTCGTTTGTTAGAGAAAAGGATTGAACTTGGCAGTAAAAGTGTTATAAGGGCAGAAGAGATCATTCCTGGTGTTGAGTCTGTGTTTCAGGAGCTTCCTTCAATGGAGTCGGAGAAATTACGTGTACACTTGGTCACAGTCCTGAAGTCCCAGCAATGAGGGGTTCCAAACATTGTACCACCTGACCGAAGAGTCTTAAATAAAAATTGTAGACAGTATAGTAACTACAAAAGCAGATAAAAGTAAGATCACGGTCGTCATGAATAAGAGTGACTATCTGCAGAAAGTTAGACATGTAGCTGAAGGACCTTAGCGACAAATTAGTAACGGGACGATAAACCATCTGGTATCGATTGTACTCAAAAAGTGAAATCCAACCACGACTTTGCGGGTTACCGAAAATTCACAAAAAAGGTGTGCCATAAGACTAATGGTGGATGGCATAAGTTCATCACCACATGAGCTGGCCACATTTCTAGCAGGTACTCTTAAACCACTTGCCGGCAAGTCACCCACACACACCCATGATTCGTATGACTGCTACAAAAGTAGCTGGGTTTCAGTTAGAACTAGATGAAGTTCCGGTTACCTTTGATGTCAAATCTATGTATAACAACGTCCCTAAAGCGGACGCTGTGGAAGTAGTGGGAAGGCTTTAACTGGCAGACACAACGCTGTAAACACGAACGCAACTCTCCGTAGACGAGATAGCTGAAGGCGTAAAGGTATGCCTAAACCTCGGTCATTTTGTTCTCGACTCAATTATATACTCCCAAGAACAAGGTCTATCGATGGGATTACAAATATCCCCGATTTTGGCCAAGATGTAAGTGGAAGACTTGGAACAGAAAGCTTTAAACGGATTCGAGTGTCCACCAAGGGTGTTCTGGCGTTACGTAGATGACACTTTCGTTGGGATAGAACGGGATAAGGTAAACAAATTCTTTCAATATCTTTGGACCCCCAAATTAAGTTGAGCATGGAGATAGTATCCACATCGGGTACACTCCCTTTCCTTGACTGCATGACATACAAGAGTGGTGGAAAATTAAAAACCACTGTTTAACGGAAATCAACAGATAGTGATGCTGTCTTAAACTACTCTTCAGCACATCCAAAAACAGTATATGCTAGTATAGTTTCAACGATGTTCAGGAGAGTGAGAGCACTGTGCACAGAGGTCGACCAAAAAACAGCACAACTTGAGGTAAAAAAAGCGACTTCAAGATAGCGGATACCCGGTGGGTTTAGTCAAGCGGCAACTAGGACGGGTATTGATGCCAACACCAGGCCTATCAAGGAGTGGACCGGAACAGCTGTCATTCCATACAAAACAGGGACATCTGAAGTCATTAGAAGGGTATTGAATATGGCTAACATCAGAGGAGCATTCCAGAAGGGAAAAACTTTACGCTCGATGTTGGTGCATTTGAAGGATCACCTTCCGGTTGACTAGGAACTGTTTATACAAAACAAAATGCAACGACTGTACGAAGGTCAGACAGTCAGGGAATTACACACCAGAATCGGTGAAGATAAACGGTTCATTATTACACCATCGAGAAAAGTAGATGAAAATCAGGCGGTAATGAAAGATTCGGCAATGACAGGTCATGCATTAGACACTGGACACAGGAAAGATCCGAAAAATGCAGACATTCTACGACGGAGTTTAAGATTCACACCACAGCGATTGGTGGTCGAGGCGGTGGAAATTGCCAAGTATCCAAGCGTAAATAGAATAGAGAGCGTAGGACCTGCAAGCGTGTGGAGAGTGGTTTTAGATCAGCCGAGATGACACGAGGCGGTGTGCAGTTATCAGCAAAATGATTTCGGTCTAAAAGTACAAAATCCAAGTAGAGTAAAATCCCATTAACCAGCACCACTCCCCATCCCCAAACCAATTGTCCCGGCACCCTTCGACGAACACAGGTGAACGAAATCTGTGAACGACCCCAAGGGGAATATTCCATCAGGGCATCCTAGACTGAAAAAGCAAGGCCGACAAATCCAGGTTCAACATGACAACTCCTTCCCTAACCAATATATCGTAAATGTTAGTCATCCCCACTAACCAACAAACAGGAACATCAGACTGAACAATCAATTCTGACCAATTCCGTTAATGATGAGAAATCTCACGGATTGGTTCCGTGACTGTCTTAAAACCCAATCAACCTACTTACTCACTTGGCCTGACCAGGCTTTTGTGTCAAAAGCGAAATGCTTCCCAGCAATAAATCCGTCGACTGTTTACCAGAACTCTCTGAAACGATGACTACCCAATGGGTCCCAAACATTTTCCAATTGATTGAAAGAACTAAATCTTACCCGAACGGCCAAAATACGTCGTTGATTTTGCACACTAACGTAGTGCATTTGATTTGTATCGGTAATGAAGATGGTTCGTAATTCATCTAGTACACTGTTCCAGCGCTGCAAAGTAAATGTGGCTGCGAAATAAGCTCGAGGGAGGGCACTATCAGTGGACAGGTGGGCTGTATCTCATTTCAAAAATGAATCGCTGAGAAATTCCCTCTATTTCCAAGCACAAATTAATCCCGTCGCCCCAGTGGCTACGAGATGACGGACAGATTGTTAGCCCGATTTCCCCAAGAAACTCCTTGTAATCACGTAAAAATAAGGTGAAATGACCCAGCGCCTTCGAAAAAAACATAACCTAACGAAATAACAGGCATCTGGATGAAGGAATGCTAGTGTGCATGTAATTTGATGCTTTTCTGGGCAACTGAGATGGTACGAAAACAGCCCCAAGGAAACATATATGCCCCACTAAATAAAAATTCGAAGACTGGAAAACGTTTACCCTCAAAAGATGAAGACAGAGAACCGAAAATCTAAAGGCTAGGTTGCCGTGCTACATCTTCGTGGAACTGTCGCGAGACTCACCACAACCATTGTGACCAAAAAGTTTGGGCGCAACTGATTGTCTGTGTAGCCGGCTGAGGAACCGACCGAATCGCGGTAGATACCTCGGTTGTACTCCAGCGATGGATCAGTGGTATCTGACGGGATCCAGAAGGCTGGTTCGAACGACTGCTTCAAGCGGGTAGCCCAATCAGTCCAGGTGAAAAACTTTCCATCCGGCAACTGCACGCCGGAATGCGGATAATAGAAAGCATTCTTTCCGTCTGTGACACGGTGGCACTTTTGTAGCCAGTTAACGACAGCATAAGCGAGACCAACGAGTTCCACAGCAGAACCATCTCTAGGAGTGGCCGGGATCCCCCGGTTTTGTGCCTTATCGGAACTGCCCATCTTGTCCATCCATGTACCGCAATTGAAAGCGTTGCCACCACATGGAAATCCAGTTTTCTGATCAATAGAAGCTGTAACCTGGGAAAAAAGAACGGAGAAGCCATACGAGTACGCGCGAGCTAACAGTTTTTGTCCAGTACGTGCATGGGACTGGATGATGCCTGACAAACGATCTGACACCAGATCAGTCACTAACAGAGGGTCGGTACTTTCATCCATGATTACCCTGAAGTCCGCAACGCACACCACCTGCGGACAATAGTACTGACATCGAAAAGGCAAACGCCCAAACCATGAAATTCGCAAAAGCGTTATCACCTCGTCACTAATTCAAAGATGGACATTTCAGGAAAGCCAGTATTTTGGAATTAGGAAGACATTATTGTGGTTTCGTTTCCCAGTCACTACCACATACCACCTCAATGTCAAAATCCAGGTCATTAGATGCAACCACTGGAGGGAATTTCATTCGTCAGTATTACCGTTTAACAGTCGATGAGCGAATATGGTCACGGAACCAACTGTACGCATTGTAGATGTGCACGAAGACAGCAGTGTACAGATATGTCCCAACCTACCTGTATATCAATATATCAATTAGGGGCACGGTAACCTCAGGTTTTCTCATTAAAAAATGAATGGCCTTCTAAAAATTTCCCTGAGGACGTAAGGTAACCAAGCATTTTTGATGTGAGCTGACTATGAAGCCAAGCTGATACGGGGTGACACTATGCTGTATCACCTGAAAAGTCCCATCTTCCGTGCATGTTAGCGGAATCCACCATTCAATCCAGCATTTCTAGCTTGATAGCTGGACAGCAGCAAGTGGCATCATCAACTCGCAGATGAAGTCGTGGCTAGGAATTAGAGTTATCCTACATTGGCTCATAATGCTAATGGAAGGCGCAAGTTAGCCCATCCAAAAGAACTTCTACGGTAACATCCTGGGAAGAAACATCGTCGCCGAATAACAGCCAAACGGCATAAAACACGTGGAGCTGTGTTGAGATTACCCACTAGGCCACAAGCCTCTCGATAGCATACCGGTCTGTAATGAAGGTTCACTGGGAGTTCAATAGGTCGTCAGTCGTCGGAGGCAGCAACATCAGTGCTGACACTGATGCTTCACTGAAGTACCAGTAGGTGAGTTCTGAGAAAGCCAGTGACAATAAATCTTGGTGCTGGTAGGCCATGGTGGATGACACGCTGTCATCTGTCCGCGGTTTTACAAAATGCATCACAATTGACTATGAACGTTGCTCTAGAAGTATTGAAATGAAGGTAGCGAAAACAGCGCCCGTCCGAAACTCCTAGGGGCGCTGTAACGCGTAACAGGGCACGCGTAATCATTGATGCGCGCTGCCTAGACGGCGTATAAATTAAACAATGCGGTGAACGTCACGTGATTCATGATCTGTGAAAACTTGCAGAAGCTCTCCGCTGTCAGATAGCTGTGCACTTAAACAGCTAGACTTGGTTCTACTTTCCCCACAAGCTAGTGAACTGAAGTCAAGAGGCATTCAGAATTTCACGAGCACTTCTGACAAGCTCCAGTCAAGTGCTAAAAAGTTACTGAGTGGCCTGAAGGCTTGCAGATTGACCTAAGCCCATCGTCTCGGTGTGAATTTGAACAATTGTCCTTGCGCAAATCTGGAGTCCAACTAAGATCCCAGTTAGTAACAAGAAACACAGACAATCTACTCCATCACCTCAACGACTGTGGTAATCTTTTTCGACCTGCTCGACTGATGCCTAACTCTGTATTTTGGCCACCCACAACTCCTAGAGGAGAGTGAAAGGAGACCGCGGACCACTATAAGCTCTGCATCAGACCGTAAGGGCTTAGTCATCCATGTACCTGAGCTAGACGGACAAGCACAATTTACACCTTGTCCTCGCCCAGAGCCTCTAATGGAGAAGCACTGAAAATGATGCTAGGCCAGACACTGACACTGTAACAAAGCTACTCAAATGGGCTTGGAAAGTATGCAATGATCTACTAGGTCGTATAAAATCAGCAGTGCCTGCAGATCCTCCTTGTCAAAATTTGCTTGAAGTGAGCTCAATACTTCGAGCCGACGGTAATACTGATTCCGAAAACGGCAGTTAACCATTATTGAAATAAACAATGACTAACCTAGTTAAGCAATTATTTATTTATTTATTTATTTATTTAGTTAGTTAGTTAGTTAGTTAGTTAGTTAGTTAGTTATTTATTATTTATATAAACTCAAAAAAGATTAACAAAAACATGCAAACGAGGGAATTCGATCTGCGTTTGGTTTTGACAACCCCAAAACTGAAGGTCTTCAACCCTGCTCCCAGCGATTGCATTCAACAATCGCAGGAGTCCGAGTTGAATCGTTCAACTGTAGCAACCTTTCAGTGCCTAGCTGCCATGCCAATGAAAGAGAAAATGAGGGCTGGGATACTGCCAGGTTGCCCAAGCCTAGACCGGGGAAGTCAAGAGGCAGAGGTCGGGTTCGAACCACGGACCTTCAAGTCAGTAATTCGCACTCTAACCACTTGACCCATCTCGCCCCGAGTTGAATGTGAAGAACGATCGGTCAGAAAGTAAAAAAACAGATCCGAGTATATTATAGAGATAAGAAAACTCACGTGAAACCCTTCTGGTTTCATATGTTCGTCTAACTGTGGACCAGCGTTACGTTCAACAAAATCTATGCCTGACACGTGACGCTGCAGGACCTCTTGGACCACTTCATACAACGGGTGGATTCGCGAGCCAACGAACGATAAACGCCGTTCTGGATTCTCGGTTGGCCAACCCAGCGTGTCGTCTGTGGGAAACCATCTCCAAACAGGACGTTCCAATAAACTCTTCGAGTGAAGCGATGATTCAATCCATTCACTTTTATCCGTACTACCAGATCTCGAGCCATTCTCTGAAGTGGCTTCGTAATGATTCAGCTTTGCAGATTCTGTTTCCTCCTCATGCTGTCCCACAGTGGTCTCATAGCAGACAATCGCATATAACCAATACCAAACAGCATCACGGCAGTTATAGCGAGGACAAACGTTGGCACCCTCTCCGGTCAAATTGGGGATCAAACCATGACGAACCAGGCTTGCATAGCTTAAAATAATGTTCGCGGCATCCTAAGGAGAATAGATATGTGCGGGTGAGAGCATGCTCCAACATAGCGCGACGAGTAAGGAAATGTGAAAAAACTAGCCGTCCAAGAGTCCGACAGCGACGTTCCCATCTGTTGTCATAACCGTCTTACATTACCCGAAATATCCAGCTTGGGTCTGTTGGCTTGCAGGTCACTTTTAGCTGGCAGAAAACGAATGAGTAGCGCCACCTCAAAATAGCCCAAAGGCTGACGTTTAGTGTTTCCACATATGATTCCGCTTGTAGTCGATAAGTGACCAGTATGTATATGGGCTAGATTGCCATGGCCACTTACAAAAGACTACTATAACCGATTTCACAACCTCACCGCTGTGGAATCAACAGATAAGCCGGTAAAGACGGAACTGCATAGGTGTAGCAGAATCATTAACACACGGAAATCAGGCAGCGCCCGAATTAGGAAAAGTAATCGTCTGGGTCTATATTTAAAAGGCCCGAATCGTTCCCAGGATCAGTGATTACAGTGAACTTCCCTGAAATACACCTGAAGATCACGAAGTGGCATTCTTCACCAGTCGAAACGTAATGCGTGATCCTTCAGAATTCTATCCCCTAGAGGTCGATTCCCCTTTCTCAGTGATGGGGTATCTTAAGGAGGAGTACTGAAAGCCTTAAGGATTTTAGCCAACTATCATGTTCCCAGCGCTTACTACATTTGAGTATGCACTAGGAAACATTCGGTGCACGTACACAGGGGGGAAATTCATGCACGAAAACATGTCTGGAACCCTGGATAAACGCGTGGTTAATAGACGTACCCAAAGCAAAGTTCAATTTTGAGCGCATGAACGTCCGAAATCGAATGTTACATATTCGGATTTACCAAGCCCACAATGAGTCAGCATAAAACTCACGGAAGTTTCTTGAAATCAGATTATTACGGCGACTCCCAAGCCGTGGGAAATGAAATGGATTCAGGTAAGTCCAGCATAAGGACATCTGTTACAGCCATACCATGATAATGAACCGTTTCTAACCAAATATCGGGGAAATAGGTTATTCGTTTACACTTTGGAAACCCAAATATTACCATACCGTAAATTCTGTGAGCAGGGTTAAAAGTAAACTAACCTCATACCGACCCGTGAGCAAAAGGCAACCTCTGAGCGAAATGAATGTATCTCGGCCCCAAGAACGCCACATCCCTTCAGCGAAGTGTGGTAGTCCCGCAGCTAGGCTACAACACCAAGACTGAAGAGCTGACTGTCCCGACATGATCTGTACTGGTAACGGGGGTTTTGGAGGTGGAAGACGACAGTTGCCAACAAATCCGTAAAACTGATTGGTCGCGATTGCAAGTCTTTTGATTACCGAAGATGTGGACTCGATCCAGCGGGCCATGTGCAAAACAGACTTTAAAAAAATCACAAGAGCGAGAAACTCAGTTCGCACAGCTTACCACATATGACTTCAAGGGAGACAGTACCACTCATAAGTGACATAAAAATGAATCTGATCACTACTCACCTCTTTGTACAGCAGGTCAACAACCAAATGAACCAGTGTTTCAAAATACGCTGGAACTAAGTATCGCGGCAAGGCCTCCAACGGAGCAAACAAATCTTGAAGTATTTTTCCAAACGAGCTCAAATGGGGTGAAAGAGTACCTACTGCATCCTCAGGTATCCGGCAAAGTCGATTCGCAAGATAATTAGCCAACCAATCTCCATTACGAAGATTACCACACACCGGATGTCCCAAGTCGTTTTTATCACGGATTTCCTCCAAAAGTGCGGCGATACTCTGAAAACCAAGAACAACCGTGGATGACACAGGACATATTGCGTACAGCAACCAGGAGCAGGATGGTAGACAACAACAATAGTTTGGTATTTTCAGGCGCGTATGGCAGTACAAACCTTTGTTTCTGTAAACAATTGAGATATTAACTATCACTTTCTCCTAGGATTATGGACAATGGAAAGAGTCCAAAACGGGTACAGAAACATATTTCTTAGAATACACGACCCATCCAATTCCTAAAAAAACAGTGGGGATGACACGCATGGTCCTGGATATTTCTAATGATATCCCCTTTCCAGTTCCCTGAATCCAGTTCAAATCAATCGTGACTGGCCATACAGGCAAGATTGAAGTCCTGAGCAACATCTTCCTTTTCCTGTTTAGGATTACGGCAAAAAACTGTCTAGTTTGAAAACCTAAGGAGAACTGTTGCGTCCACATGATCCCGAAATATCCAGTGAAGGTGAATATCCAGTACGTTAACACTCAACAGCGAACCATAAAATAAGGTATTTAATATCGGCAACGACGACTGAGCGGATGACTCTTGTTTGTGTGCTTCGAAAACAAAGTATACGGACAAGAGGTAGTCCGTCCTGAAAACTCGATCCAGGGTATGTTTTGAGTCGAGTGGAAACGATCAAAAGGATGTGTCATGAACCACCACGTGGGGCTTTGACCAACAATTTCCGCAAGGAAGATTACGGAAATTTTGGAAAGACAACCTGGCTAACAGAATTATTAGGGTTCGGTGAAGAAAAATGGGCCATTCGACGCTGCGCAGTAGCCAAACCGACCCTCCAAAAGATATTTATCGGATGCGCTATGATGAAAACATCCAACAAGTTACAAGGAATGTTGATGATTAACATTTGGAACAACCAAATGATTAACAAACTGAAAAGATGGTGTGTATCTGGGAAAGCCAATATACCTGAAATCCGCAGTAACTCAGTTTCCCATAACCTGGTATGTCATAGGCTCCCGACTGAAAACCGTCCGCCATCTCCTCTGCTTCACAACGGAATAAAATTCGATTGAGATCAATCAGACGAAGATCAGACGCTAGCATTCGTATAGCATTAGCCTCAAGTTGAATCGGAGCAGACGATAGTAAATGTGGCGTATAAGCCTTATCTCCACGTCCCATTTTGATGCTCAAACGCTGCTTGTGCAATGAACAACCGAACTGTAAAACGGAATCGGAAGAAAAACCATGCAGTGTTAAGACCCAATTCGCTCGCCGTATGTTTTTATCAACAAGTCACGATCGAAAGAAGACGATCGCATGAGTCTGCGTAAATAACGCTGTTAGGAGGACTACCACCAAACGAACAAATCCATTTATCTAACGATTTGTCTTGTATACTAAAACCTTGTTTCTACATTCCAGCCTCTCACTGACATCCTAGTGGACTGTTAGCTCTTTTTGTATTGTGTATGCTGAATCCCATACCACGGAACGATCCACTTGTTTGAGTATAACTTCCTCGAAGTTTTGTTTTCTCCATTCCGGTGATCTAACGTGTCTGACTGATATAACATTAAAGAGGGCATAACACTGGCGACAGAAACCCAACGCGAACACAAACATGTCAATTTCAGCTGAGGATTTGAAAGCAATCCTTTAAGAGCAACAAGCGCAGTTCGAACAGTCGCAATTGTGACTTATTCGGTCTCTTACTCAAGCTATCAGTCTTCAGACATCGGTTCCATCTCAGATTGGTACTTCATTATTCTTTGCCGATTCTATCGCAGCAACTGTTACCGAATTCCTCTACGAACCAGCATCTGGTCTCACATTCGATTCATGGTACAGTCGCAGGGAAGATACTTTTCAGAATGAGTTTACCGACAAAGATGATGCGTGGAAATCCCGTCTCTTGGTCCGGAAACTTGGAACCCTCGGGCACGATCGGTTCAAGAACTTTATTCTTCTCAAACATCCAAAAGATCGAAACTCTACACAAACAGTGAAACAACTCCGTGAAATTTTCGGTGAGCAACATTCACTTTTTAATGACCAGGGGCGATACCGACGACTACGTCACTTTTGCTGGTGTCGTCAACCGCGAGTGTGAAAAATTTCAATTGCGGTCACTTACAGAGGATCAGTTCAAGTGCCTAATTTTTGTTGCTGGTCTTCAGTCTCCGCAGGAATCAGATATTCGCAATAGACTGCTTTCCAAGCTCGAGCACGAGAAGGATATTACCGTGAAAGTACTCACTACCGAATGCCAAAGTTTGCGTAATCTTAAGCATGATACTGCAATGGTACAGCAGACGTCACGACCTACTAATCCCAGTGGTATCATGGCATTGAAACGAACCACTGTTACACATGAGAAAAAACCGCCAACACCGTGTTGGTCTTGTGGCGAGTGGCATTATGCACGTTTCCGTCCATTCAAGAAGCGCCAGTGCCGGACGTGTCATTGGTGGGGCCACAAAGAAGGATTCTGTCGTACCCAAAAACCCACCGCACCCAAAAACCAAAAGAGCTTCGACACTCCACCCAGCAACACAGTCAAAAAGCAGCCGTACAAAAAACGTCCGCAATCCAGATCTGTGTTTGCAACATTCCAAGTTGAATTTGAGTCCCGAACGAAATACCTTACAGTTTCCATCAACAAAGTTCCAATCCGTCTGCAGCTCGACACAGCTTCAGCTATTACGTTGATCTCACGTTCCAATTGGGAGTTGATAGGAAAACCTGTTGTGTCATTCACGAATCATCGGGCCCAAAGTGCATCTGGCAGTACACTACTACTGACTGGCAAGTTAGCCTGTAATGTATCATTTAGCAGTCTACAGTTCTGAGGAACTTGTTATCTCACGGATCGTCCTAATCTGAACATTCTTGGACTTGATTGGATTGAGAAACTTGACCTTTTTAGTGCACCCCTGACATCTGTGTGCAGTGCTTTACAAGTATCGTGCTCTTCAGATATTGTGAAACATTTCACAAACACTGACGACTAAATTCGCTGATGTTTTCACAAAGGGCCTTGGAAACTGTACTAAACACAGAGCTACTCTCAAGCTTGTTCGTCTTCAACAGCTCGGGTTATCCAGCCAGTGAGTTATTCGTCTTGGGCTGCTTCTATTGTTGTCGTCAAAAAGGCAAATGGCAAGATACGCGTATGTGCTGATCATTCAACTGGACTCAATGGCATACTTGATTCCTATCAATATCCATTACCTCTTCCAGAAGATTTGTTCATCAAGCTCAATTAAATGCTTTGAAAAACTTGATCTTGCTGATTCTTACCTCCAAATCGAAGTTGAACACTCCAAAGAACTCTTGACCATAAATACGCATCGTGGCTTATTTCAGTTCAATCGCTCACCTTTTGGCGTGAAACCTGCACCAGCTATATTCCAGCAAATAGTGGATAGCACACTCAACGACTCTCCCGGTGTTGCTGCATACTTAGATGACATAATCATCGCTGGTGCCAATCAAGACGAACTACTACATCGATTACATTGTGTGCTGAAAAGTGTGAATTTTTCCTCATCTCCATTAAATACCTGAGATTTATCTTTGACGAAAATGGTCGTCGTCCGGACCCAGAAAACATTTCTGCCATACTTCAAATGACAGCACCAACGGATCTAACAAATCTACGTTCGTTCCTTGGCTTGGTCAGCCACTACAACACTTTTCTACCAAGCATGCATCGTGTCCGCCACCCACTAAATCACCTTCTACAAAAAAAGATGTTCCATGGAACTGGTCACACGATTGCCAATCTGCATTTGATAACGTGAAGTCACAACGTAACTCTAAATTGCTTCTCATGCATTACAATCCAGCTCTGGACATTACTGTGGTTTCAGACGCATCCAATTATGGTATTGGAGCAGTTATCTCTCACGTTTTCCCTGATAGAAGTGAAAAAGCAATAGCAAGCAATCCCTGACAGTTACCGAACGCAATTATAGACAAATTGAAAAAGAAGGTTTAGCCATAATTTTCGCCATCAAGAAGTTCCATAAAATGCTATATGGTCGTCATTTCACGCTCATCACCGACCATAAACCACTTCTTGGTATTTTCGGATCAAAGAAAGGTATCCCTGTGCACACAGCAAGTCGCATGCAACGCTGGGCAACAATGCTCTTGGGCTATGATTTCTCCATCAAATACCGATCAAATGATGCGATCGGCCAGGCTGACGCATTATCAAGGCTTACGGATTCTCAGCGTCCACAACTCGAAGATACAGTTATCGCACCGATAGTTATGTTTACTGGCCAGGCATGGATAAGCAGTTAGAAGAACTTGTACGCAAGTGCTCAAAATGTTAACTATCTGCAAAATCCCCTCGGAAATTAGAATTACGTTCATGGCCTGTCCCAAAAACTCTATAGTCACGAATTCATGTTGATTTTGCGGGACCAATCAACGGCCAACAATCTCATCCTAGTAGATGCTTATAGCAAATGGCCAGAAGTGTTTAGCATGAACCATATTACTGCTGAGGCTACCATTCCAAAACTACAACATTTGTTTAGCCACTTCGGAGTTCCAAATATCATTGTTTCTGACAACGGCAGTGCATTCATTTCCATTAAATTTTCCGATTTTTGTCAAGAAAATGGCATACATGTGCGATCACCACCGTTTCATCCACAATCAAATGGCCAAGTGGAAAGATTTGTGGACACTTTCAAACGCGCACTTCAAAAACTCAAAGGGGAGGGGACCACACCGGAAATCATCGAGACATTTCCGCTGAGTTATAGGGCGACATCAAGTGTTAACGCTCCACATGGCAAGCCCCCGGCGGATGTACTTATGAACCGGAGGATCCGCTTACCCGTTGATGTCATCCGTCCAACACCACATTCGCCAACCGGTAGAAACATAAATATGGAATTTCAGTTCAACCGACATCACGGTGCTGTAACTAACATATTTATACCCGGCCAGTCTGTGCTAGCGAAAGACTATCGTGGTGGCGCCGAAAAGTGGACACAAGGCATAATTGTGCGCCGTGCCGGAATAGTTGTCTATGAGGTAAATGTTGGCTCCCCTATCTGGGTCCGTCATGCCAATCGGCTGCGCGCTTCCTATCTTCCAAGGGCAGCTACACTCGACCCTGTTCTTCCACTGGAGATCCTTCTCGACACACTTGAGTTAGCTCAAAAGCCAAAATCTCTAGAGCCGATGAATGAACCACCAATTTCCAAACGTGGCGCACCTAGAAGATGGACCGATCGAATACGAAGGCCCGTCATACCAATGCAACTCAACCCTCGGCAGCAGTCCTACAATCGAGCACTTCACAGGGGAAGTGTTAGGATGACTACCTCCAAACGAACAAATCCATTTAACTAACGATTTGTCTTGTATACTAAAACCTTGTTTCTACATTTCAGCCTCTCACTGACATACTATTGGACTGTTAGCTCTTTTTGTATTCTGGTTCAGTTGAATCCCATACCACGGATCGATCCATTCCGGTGATCTAACGTGTCTGACTGATACATCATCAAAGAGGATATAACAAACGTGAAACCTGCCAATCATTAGCTCCTATATAACACCACGACTACTGACGCACAAAGCCTATGGGAAATTAGGGCAGACCACGACAATATTTCTCTCCAAAAAACGATAGGTTAAACACCAGAAGAATGATGTAGAAAGAAGGATACGGAACCTGAATATCCCTGAATGTAGGCTCTAGCAGGCGAAGTCCAAGAGTAACATGCATTTTAATCTCAAACACACCTTTCATAATCAGAAGACACTCCCGGTTGACGACTAACAAGCAATTTTGATTCAACAGCTTAGTGTTGTAGTATCCTATGTGCTTCAGACCAATTAAGGGTTCTGTAAACATAAGGATTGCAGACAATATGAAATCTTAGACAGGGGAATGACAGGAATGACAGCTGGACGGAATCCCGCGCCGAAATCGCCTTATGCCCACAAGTGGGCGTCGAGGCGGCCAATAAGCCTAACTCGCACGTGATTAGCCAGAAACTCGGGCCCCTGGTCGATGCAGCTCTGATAGGTCTAAAGTGCGAACTCAATAGCCAATCATGTTCCAGCATCTGGGAATGCCTGCTGCCAGTGGCGTCCGAAATTCGGGGACGTTGCCCTTACGAACACTAAATACGAAGAGCTGTTGTCACTTGTGTGTACGGTTGGTGGTTCTGCTGGAGGATCAGATCGGACGGGAAGTCTGATTCGGGGACTGATGACCCCTTGGTGACATTGTGTAAAATCGTGTGGATTGGCACGCATCAAGATTGCACTCGCTTGCGTATTTGTGTGTAGTGTTTTACCGAACCTTTTGTTGGTATTCTGGCGCAATGTTATGCACCATGAAATAAGTATATCACTGTCAGTGAACTGAATGATCGGAAGGTCTGAGGTTCAAAGCTAACGTTGACTGACCGTCTAAGTTTGGATAACTTGATAGTATTCCAGCCTTCCCACCGGGTGGTCTGGCGCACTGTAAGAGTGTTATACTGAACGCTAAACTGATGGTCAATGAAGAGATGAAGCTACAGTAAAGTGATCAACATGAATGAATTTGAATGATACAATCAGACCAAATAGAAACCAGTGAGCATACAACTGAACGCTGGATTAAGAAACACAAAAACAAGATATAACGAACCTGCGTGATTAGGAAGGAGTGCAGCGTGGACATGGCACGCTCCTGAGAGCTTGTCAAACAGACGGAAATTACGACCACCGAACCGGGAGGAAAATGATGGAAATGAAGACGATCAGTGGATCCAGCTTGTCGATTAGAACAGCGTTCAATTCGGAACATTTTGCTATCTCCAGGTTCCACATTCTGTAGCATCGGGAACTGAATATGTTGCAGTCCATTGATAAACTGCTCTAGCGAGAACGAAGGAGATAAAGGGCAGACGTCACCGAATTAAGATAGATCAGGGGATGAACTCACGTTCTGCTAAACGCAGGACATTCCCTGACAGTTTTGAGTGTTCAGACTAACTCATCCGAAAATGGTCCAGCTTGTCTAACACAGCTGTAAACGGCTGTTGTGCAGAGGCAGATAAGGAAAACTAATTACTTAAAGGAACTCTTCTGATGAAATCGGAAGCTTGAGGATACAATGGGATTTCTCGTGACACATGCCTCAGTGTTGAATCCCCTGAATCACCATTGTACAGAACAGATAAATCTTCCTTCCTCCTAGTGGTCGCAGGAGACCGAGTACCGGACATCACAACAAAAAATAACACTCGAGGTTAATGTACCCTGAAAGGGCATCCAATTCGGAACGTCATGCACACTTCCACTTCCGGCATTTTGGCTACTTCACAGAACACTTTAAGATATATAAAGACATCATACAAAATCTGCCGGGATTTGTCATCGTGGGTAAAGCAGAGTTCAGGATCTGAAACGACGATTAAACGCGAAATTTAACAGATCAAACCGGTTTCGACTGGTGACTGAAGAGTCCAGAGTTATTACTTAGGTATTTCAAGAGAATTAGAAAGAGCCGATCCATTCCAAAGGGGTTGCAAGGCCCATGAAAAATACCGTCGATAATCTGCAACGGAAACAGTCGGCAAACTTGATTTTGTGAGAATCCTAGACAAATGAACACCGTTTGCCCATAACTTTGATATTCCTTGGGCCAGGTCCGAAAACCACATGAATGAATAGACTTAAATCTGAACTAGCATACTTTCTCAAAATTGGCCCTTTGTGGTCCGCGTAAAAGACCTCTATCATTCTCAGGAATGAGCTGCCCTTTTCATAACCCAAAATGATGCCCACCTTAACCCTGAAAACAAAATGCACCAGTCAGGCAAACAAACCGATAGGTACAGTTGCCATGTCATGGTGTACGGCAGTACTGAAGAGTCCAGAGTTATTACTTAGGTATTTCAAGAGAATTAGAAAGAGCCGATCCATTCCAAAGGGGTTGCAAGGCCCATGAAAAATACCGTCGATAATCTGCAACGGAAACAGTCGGCAAACTTGATTTTGTGAGAATCCTAGACAAATGAACACCGTTTGCCCATAACTTTGATATTCCTTGGGCCAGGTCCGAAAACCACATGAATGAATAGACTTAAATCTGAACTAGCATACTTTCTCAAAATTGGCCCTTTGTGGTCCGCGTAAAAGACCTCTATCATTCTCAGGAATGAGCTGCCCTTTTCATAACCCAAAATGATGCCCACCTTAACCCTGAAAACAAAATGCACCAGTCAGGCAAACAAACCGATAGGTACAGTTGCCATGTCATGGTTGTACGGCAGTGAAGCATCGGTGTTGACCACTGATGTCATGCTGTCGATGATGATGATGATGATGACAGTTGCCATGAAAGGAACTCGTTAACTCGACTGTCGGAAACTGGTAGAATATGAGGTGGAGTAAGATAGATTGGGGGTTCGGATGAAGAAGTAAGGAGCCAACAGATAGCCATGTGCAATAACTTATTTGGAAAATGGAGGTGAGTGGAAAGCTGATGAATTATGATTCCGTCAGGTGAACCAGATGTAACAAGATTTTTTGAGGAAGAATGTTTTTTTTCCAGAACAAACGCGTCGGGTCCTTGGGCAAAAAATCAACAATATGCTTCCCGGTAACGAGGTCGAATCGGACATAGTGAACATTCTGGAAGGATTTATCCGAGTTCATGCTATTTTGCGACACCTCGTTTGGCGTCTTTCGTCATTTCCGTGAAAGTGCAGGAAGATTTGAGCAAATATCAAATTACATGCATATAAACAAACCACATGGAGCCATAAAATATGGAGGGTGCATACACAAAAGTTACTGTTATTTATTGAGGTAGTGATGTGGGTAAAAAAAACTTCAGTCAGGCTATCCAACCGGAAATATCATGGGTGATAAAGGGATTTCTGAGAGATAAGACGTAGCGAAAGGGCAAGACGCAGTCCTTTGATCCCATCTCCTGAATGCGTAAATCTGGTTCTAGATGTTATGCAGCAACCCCTGCTGTCCACCGAAGAACCCTGGATATTTTCCCCCGGACGACGCTCCAAAAGGCACCCAGTTTCCACCGGATTTGAAGGCCAGTTGTTTTCCTATTAATGTCCAGGCTGTTTATAAGCATCCATAAACGGCTCTTTTGGTAAATTCACCGATGTGCACACTAATGGTCGTCCTTCCGCTCTGGCTTTCCCGTTCTGCCCATACATTAGAATTAGTGGACGCTATGTGAAGCAGCCAGAATTGATAGGCTTTCATCATGGGAGACGGAATTGGTTGTTTTGCATGCACATATTAGATTGAATGTGTGAAAAGTGAATAGCAAAGCACACTTAAGACGGCGATGGATCTCCACTGAAATGTCACTGCTTTTAAACAACGGTTGGATATAGACTGTTCTTTCGATCTCCAAAATGAATAAGGATGAATACTTCTTCAAAAACCATGAGGATCTCCACTCCTATATAAACTATCTCTAAGGTGACCCGAATCGGAGAACATATTGGATCAGCGTGCGCAACAGTCTTCATAAGCGTCCGTCCGTAACTAGTTGGAAGGCTTTGGAAATGGGAATATTCAGCCAAGTTTATGATGAATCGTTCTGGTGATTGACTCATCTGGTTTCTGACACTCGCGAGTGTGTTATTTATAATGCAGCGTATTCAATTTAACGAGCAGGTTTCTTGAATATTCGGAACTTTGGTATGTATGATACATGTGACGCCTAGTTAAATGTAACTCAGCTGTCAGGTCGATGGTCTCATTTAAAGAAAAAGACAAAAAGAGCGATTGAATGTCAGCTGAGACTTTATCCATGATGCGAAAAATACATCTGACAGCTCTCAACCGGTAACTTGGTGGTATTACGTTGCGGTGCCTGTGTTGTAAGTAGAACAAGCCGCGGTGGTTCCAGCATTCAGCAACTTTGGTAAGCCGTACAACCATGTAGGTTCGGTTCTTTTAGGCTCGAGGGCTTTGTATAGCCGGTGGTGAAAAGAGGTTGAGATAAGACAATTAAAAGATAGGTCAGTAAATCCTTTTGATGTCACATCTTTCACGAACGTCCCATTGTTCAAGACGTTCAGTTACGAAAAACTGTTCCAGACCCTAATGGACTTTTTCCACGCTGAAATTTGAACATGCATTTCGGGCATCGTGGACGCAGTAGCAATAAACCCAGCATTGGGGGCAGCGCCAGCTGATAGTTTTATGAGTAAACCTGAGACCAACAAGCTAAAGCAGTCAACAGATGGCGTATACTAACAGCGCAGACAAAGACGATTCAGCTGCTGTTTCGGATAACCAGTTCCATGCAGAACCTATCTACTGGGCTTCATCTGCTGATGAAATTCAAGGGTGCGACAGAAACAAGACATTTAAATTGGTAGTTGTTTGGCCAGGCGACAGAACGGATCAGTAGAAGCTCGAACTGGAAACCCCTCAGCGGTTAACTCACGAAACTACTGGCCGGATGGTCTACGGTTCGAACTGACCTTAGCTTCTCGAATGCCTCGATGGCTTTGGCAACCTTGATGAATTTCAGCCCTTCTGCTTTCTTTGGGTGGCCCAGAAATTATGCACCGAAACTGTGCCACAGGTGAACATACCCCAACACTCCAAGCCCGCAAATCAATCGCCCTACGTACAAGGGTACAACTGGTCGACAATTTCAACGTGCCCTTACCACAAGCTGACGGGCAAATTCACCCTAGTCACGTAATGTACCAACCATACTTGATCTGTGGTACTTATTCTTCTGTTATATTTCAATGTACTTGCTAAAAGTCTTCCGAACAGATTTCACATGATGCGTTTGATCTCTGGAAACGTATCATCGAAATATCTTCCTTTGGTTAGATACCCTAAAAGATCCCACCAACCTTCATGTTGATACAACCAAGTTTGTAGGTAGTCGAACATTCTGCACAAACTAGTTTGATGAATGAACCAATCGTCCGCATCAGTATGGAAGGGCAGTTGTAAAACCGCTGGTACTAATCGTGGAAGGTTGTAGGAACTGATCTACACATTAATGACGCAGATGTTCGGATCACTAACGCTCTCCGTTACACCGTTTTAAAAAGACATCAAATTATGAAATATAAAAACAAATCCAGCGTAATTAAACAATACCTCCCTGAAAGGCCGCGATGGATACGGTAACCATGGATGACCGCCGGAAAGAGGGACACACGGTTGTGGCTCGAAAACTGAGCGTTCTTCGATCAATTCAGCCACTTGTATTTATCTAGTTCTGATCAGCCACACGAAGAAAAGTGAGGGCAGCTATTGAAACGTGGTAATTAACCAACTCGGCAGACTGTGTGAACTGTTCCATAGCTGTGGAACCAACAGTCCGAAACACTTATCATCTGCTGATAGTATAGTTGACAGTTATGCGGAATAAAAGTACCTCTACCTTGTATAGACGCGAGAATATCGTAAATGAGATTCAGTTGGGTTTCAGGTGGGTATCCCGTCAAAACCAAGCGGTATGCAACTGAGCGTTCTTCGATCAATTCAGCCACTTGTATTTATCTAGTTCTGATCAGCCACACGAAGAAAAGTGAGGGCAGCTATTGAAACGTGGTAATTAACCAACTCGGAAGACTGTGTGAACTGTTCCATAGCTGTGGAACCAACAGTCCGAAACACTTATCATCTGCTGATAGTATAGTTGACAGTTATGCGGAATAAAAGTACCTCTACCTTGTATAGACGCGAGAATATCGTAAATGAGATTCAGTTGGGTTTCAGGTGGGTATCCCGTCAAAACCAAAGCGGTATGCAGATAAGTGCATAAGTCGTACCCCTTCTTTACTTCGTTTGATTAATTACTGTGAATACCCCAGTTAACCGCCGATTGAGGTGTAAGGCTTAAGCACTGTACTTTAACGATGCACTTTAACGTTGCAGTTTTATCTAGCAGTATGATGTGTAAAACGTGCATTTCGTACACACCATCTAGGATTCCGCTGAGTATCTTGAAATACACTTTTAAGCCCTCGCTAAAGATCCGAAGACCCAAGATACTGTTTTTACAGCTTCAACTTATCAAACCAGTAATATTATGTTCACTTATCGTATATTAGCGTGAACCCGGGTTTTTCGGTTTCGTGTCTATCTTCATTGTAAGAAAACAATGTTCTGTAGTCCAAAGAGTAACAAAAACATATTTCGGGATACAAAAAGTGTAGCCATCTAGTGGCAGAGAACTTTGAGACTACAGTTGATATGATTCGAGTTGAACTAAATTCGTCTGATGTTCAACGGGGATAGTTCCTCAAACTCAAAGGGATACCATCTTAAAATTTTACCTACTAACATAATCCATGAAACTATTTCAAGATCACAGTACTCTAACGAAAGCAGTTGCTCGCAGTGGTAATCTTATTGCGCTGTAAACATGACCGTGGTGGTGAATTCGGCCTTAGAATCAAAAATGCAAAACTCAAACTAAACACTCGAAAAAGTGAATTTTGAACATGCATTCAGGCCGAAAATGCGTCTAGGACCCGTACATTTGCGCAGCAAGGTTGGGTAAGAACAGGCTTGAAGTCAAACAGAAAAAATGGTTTACTAGTATGTAACTGACATGTGAGGAAATGCCGAGAAGATCCTGAAAAATAAACTTTCATTCGGTTTAATATAGACAAGGTAAGAACTGCAGTGTACTACATGCACCACAATTCTAGAAAAGTGGCAGCATGACCTTCCCGTAATGCTGGGGTAATGGTGACTTGCGACTTCATGATTTGGCAAGGCAGCAATCGAAGTAATTTCCGTACCCGCGGCTGTTCAGAGCAAAGACCGTAGAGGATATTTTGAGCTCAACCTTCATCTGGAAACTTAATCCAACCCAGGGAACAGATCTGTGTCCACTTGCCAGCCGCCCAGAAAAACGCGAGTTGGAAATAAATGGGTGTCCATCCACTCAACACGAGGTTAGCCACTCGCCGAATTAATAGATAAACAATCCGTTTTGTGTTATCCTCCCAAGTTAAACCTTGATCGCCTTCAAATCTGATTGTGATTCTGCTGTTTAACCTTCCCAGTTGACCTAGGGAACGACTTGCGAACGCAATGAGGTAAGTAGGCCCACCACTCACGCCCGATTTCACCATTATCATCCTTACAAACAGCAACATCAGTGTCAGCAGCAGTGCTTCTCGCTGATGGCAATATGTTAGTACACACCAACTGCTGTAAGACGACCAGTTTATAACTTTCTATAGACAAGGTATATACAAATGCGCCAAACAGTCGTCTCGGCCTAGCGAATGACTATCGTGACGGTCGACTATCATCTTAGGTGGAGATTCACCACCGAAACCACGCAATACACAGCCGCCTGATGTGTACAGATAATGTTGCGAATAAGTAGGGATATACCTTGTTTAGGCGTAAATTAGCCATATTGTTGATCAGGCGTCCATGCTGACCAACAAACATCGGCTTAAATCAAGATACCTCGATTGCAGATGTGCAACATTAACCTTTGTTCGCATTGCGCAAGTGCACCACCCTTTTGAAGAACACAACAGATGAGATCATCACATTAACCTGACAGCACCTCAATGTAGCAAGAAACCAGACAACAGAACAGATACTTATTCACATACCCTGGGCCTTACACACAATCGTTTATATACCGTCTGAATTCGGAACCCTCATGCAGTTTATAATCACCAACGTGTTGTGCGTGTTTCCTGGCCGAACCGAATCCGCGAACGGGAAAGTGGGCTAGATGTTTCTTTGTAAATTTCCGGTTTCTGCAGGTCGACCACTCTCGCTCATGGCTGTTTCGGTCGGTCCTAGTATCCCTTCAGTGCAAGTTCACAGGTGGCTATTAGTCAACTGGCGGCCTACAGTCAATGCATGTCCCCAAAGTTGGTCTCTTCCGAGCACTTGTCTCCTGTTTTCGCTGTGCGCCGTCCTGAACCAGTGGTGTGACTGCAGTTACTCGCGGTTTTACTTTTAGGTTTGATTGCACCACATTGTTCCCCACATTAGTCTACCTGCTCTCTACAATGTACATAGCAGATAGGCAGGGGAAAGGAGCTAAATTCGAGTGTTTGGTTTTCCACCGTGATGCAGCTGAGATAGCAATCGCCACCGTGAGGTAACCTGTAATTTGGAGGTAAGCATAGAACCGCTGGAAATCGATTGATGATCAAAGGCCCTGAATTCATGCACAAAAAATAAATCAATTTTAAAGAATAACTCACGTCAGGGTCTTGTTTAAATTCGCTTTCTGCACGACCGGGGCCGGTGTATACGGTCTGCACTTCAAGCAACAGGCGATTGACTTGACCACTCACTTCCAAAGGTTTGAAATCGACCCGACCTTGATTAACGATGTCGTAATTAAATGCCGTATGTGCTACAAGTAGTACAGATTCGCGGGTTGATGGACAAATCCGGGTCACAGCAATCACATTAGCTGAGCACTTCATAAACGAAAGGAGAGAGGGGAAACTGATAAGTAGACTAGTAGAAGGAAAAGTGCAACCACAACCTTAACGCCCTGTCCATGGGAGTGAATGAAGAAATGAGGTCAGGTATGAACACATCAAATCTGAAAAACCATCAAGCGAACAGTTTACTAACGAGTAAATGTTGCACTGACATCAGTGGAAGACTGAATACGAAGCGCCAAAGAACAGGAAGTCACCGAACAGAAACTAATTCTAAAAACACAGCATGCTGTTCACGTTAGACTTCCACGGGATTTTCAGTATCTAAGATGGACTCACCCAAATAGGAAGTTTTCCTTGATCGGCTTAGAATATTGGGGTACGACTCGTAGATTAACACTAATGCTTATGTCTACTATTTTCACATGCTGTTTGCAAGTTTACAGGCATAACCGGATTTTACAGCTGATGTCATCATTCTGATTCCCTTGTATACACCAAGTGTTGAACGCGGCTGCGAGCTGTCAGTGTATCTGGCACGTGAACTACATGGACGTAAATGACGGACACGTGCGCATACACTACGGATATGGACAGAGCTTTGGTTCCAAACGTAAAATCGTACCTAATCACAGGTCACGTGCCACTTGGCACACAGACGCCTGGTAGATTCTTCTACTGTTTACCACTAAATCCAATCAAGGTGCCGTGTAACCGGTGTGAACACATAACAACGGTTTACGTTTCGTAAACCGAATGGCCGAGGAAGCTGAGCCTAGTCTGCTAAAGTAATCGGAACTGCGCTGCCGATGCAGATATGATGAAACAAATCTATGGAAGGAATACTGTTTGAGAAGCGGGATTTTACTCCTTTGGGATTTCTTGCTAGAGAAACTAAACCTCTTACAGCTAGATATCATGCGCATTCCGGTCCCTAACGTGTTGATTCACTCCCAAGTGGGAATGTCGTTGAAGACGATTTATAGCCGTCGCTCCACTATGCCACGACAGCTGCAGATTCTGGACAATATTTGATCTGTCCCATATGATAGTTTGTCACTGAAATTTGGAAATGTCATGGTAGCTGTTGAAGATACTAGATATATGTTACGCATCTGATAACAGTAGGGCTCTTATCCCGAACAAAGACTAATTACGGACAGCGTCCTAACTGGTCTTAGTTCGAGGTAGTCTTCCACGACAAAGACAACTTTAGTCAATTGTGGCCCCATAAAACGGTCATTTCCTTATAAATATTACACCTTTATTGTTATTACCTTTGTAAATGACAGGACAACTCCGCTAGAAAGCTACCAATCTACAGGCACCATATGAAATTGTACCGAAGAACGTTGGAGTCAAACGTTGTGTCTGATTCCATTGTAAATGGTTTCTGAGGTCAGAAATTGTTGCGTGCATGTTTCCACTAGAGGATATGGTATCGCGACAACATACTGGACCGCAGCAGCCTGCCAAATGTCCAACCCATGTAAAGAACAACCCAACTGCTTCCACAGGCAGGGTGACGCGCTTGGGATCTTTAAAGTCTAAAGAAGTCGCTCCAGAACATAAAGCACATGAGCCCACTTATTTCGTCATCAGCATCCATCAATAGGGACCGCGAAAATGTCACTTTTGGCGTCTACAAGTAGGTTTTATGTTGGGGAACTGAGGTACTAACTTGGAATCGTAGAGTGGGCAAAAATACGTTACCTTGGGTTCGGCCAGGCAACACTGAAGCTATGCTAAGGCGGACCACGTAATGGAAGTCCTTCCAAGGAATTGTTCACAATTCCATAGATGTCGGTCCAACGAAGTTGAGCCCCAAAGGTTGGGTGCCCTATCTGTCAATTACTAATTATACTGACAAGTGTATGAAGGCTCTTCACTAAAAACAATGGATCTCCGCCGGAAAAGGGCAAAACAATGAAGCACGAATCGACGACAAAGGTGAAAGATAACTCGCTTTAGTTGGTTCACGACAGAGAGTATCAGCGAACGATAACCCAACGGCACCTGTCCAAAGTTCGAATCCTGTGAAACGAGTCTGTACATTTTCTCTGTCAAATGGAATGGAGCCAACTTACGTAGTTGTCACCCACTCTAATCTTGGCACCGCAAATGCTCCTGTCTAGGTTTGGACAACCTCGCAGTATCTCAGTCCTGGCATTTCTTCCGGGTGCCCTGGCAGCAAGAACCGATTATTTATGGAAGCCAGTTAAAGGGAGCAACTAGAACCGGCCTCTTCTGGAAGGCGACCTAGGGGCTAGGGTTCATATTCAAAACTTTGGCTGGGCGGGAATGCAAAAGCATGTCTTCACAAATTCACTCAACTCGGATGGATATGATGTGTGAAAGAATCGGAATCCACAGTTCTTGATACCCCTCGATATCTCTCGAACAAAGTGACTACTGCAAATCCAATCGTGGCATGCTCGGAAAGTCTGGTATGTTCTTGTAATAGACGTAAAAGAAAATAAATGAATGATTCATCTTTGATATGAAAATACAACATGAAGAAGGCAAATGCTTGTATCAAAAGGAAACCTAATAATAGAAACACTCGCTACGACAGCCCTTCTTTGAGGAACTCAAAGGAGGCATCAAGGATGAAATACTGCCAGGTTGTCCGAACTTTGACAATAACAGTGAAGTGGGCTCGAACCACGGACCACCGGACCAGTAGCTTTGCGCTTTAACGGCGCGAAGCTCCTAAGAAAACCCCTTCCCATCCTAACCCAGCCAACTACTGAAAGACAACGTCCGCTCTCTAAAGGCAGTCTTTAAGAGAGACTGGTTGTACAATTTATCCCCTTGAGAGACGACCCAAAAAATCTTGGAGAATTCCTTGGAAAAGACCGGTCTCCCCTCTCATCCTAAGGATGGACCTAAGGTCGGCCCATGGAGGTGGCCTCTTCAGGGAAGGACAAGTGCACAGCTGACATTTTCAGGTATCTTTCCAGATCGAAAACAGCACAGTTAATCGAACTCTCCTAGAGAGGCCATCTGAAGGGATTGCCCAAGAGTAGTCAGGTTCTAGGAGCGCTACCTTATGGAAAAGGTTCCAGCAATGAAAGTTCCAAGTGGTCAAACTAAACTGGCCTACGCTGAAAGATAGTCTCCCGAAGTGAGTATGCGTCATACGGAATAAGATAACATCACGGGGCCCAAAAAATTCATGGAACAATCCTACCTGCGCGGTGTTGACCAGAAACCCAACTGGTTTTAAAATAAAAAGAGGAGCAGGGTAGGAAGTTCGAGAGGAGAATTTCGCACTTGCTAGTTCCCTAAAGGATAACTTCGAATCTCACGGAAGCGAAGTAAAATGAACTTAGTCAGAGGTGGTCTGCGTGGGATAGGTTGTTTGGTCCAGACGACTAGTTCCAATAAATGTGGTGCAAACTTCCCATGGTGGTACAGTAGGTTCCATTCTTGGCATCTAGGGCATTCGCTCCGCTAGAAGTGAGACATTTGCCCAACCCCACCCTGCTCCCAAGGAATCCCTCTGAAAATTAATACTTTTGAAATGTCGCTAAAAAATACAAAAACTTCGAGTGGACCATTAACTATAACGTAGTTTTTTTCCAGATTCAACGCTTGCCATTCAGCAGCCTCATGGATAACTTACAAAGAGGAAGTTCGAAATCCTCTACCGATACGATCAGCTTGTACACAACCTCTGCCCTCGATCAAACCGTCTTCAAGAATTTGAAAAACGCAAGATGAGCTAAGCAATTCACTGATGGGGGAACAAGTTAAAGTGGAAGATGTGAAGTGATCCAGCTTGAAAGCAATCGGGTATGAATGTAATGTTGATGGATTATTAAGCAGGAAGTAAGCGTAACGACAGTCCTGCAATCCACCACAAACGACCTCCAGCTCTCATTCGGTAGCCGAAGCCAAAAAAGGGTAAGACGAAACTCCCAACTGGCTACATCCACCCAGTGACATTCAAACCGGAGTTTTGAGAGGCCAACTCAGTTTTCCGAACAACACAGCATTCGACCAAAATCAAGTGGGAGGACGTCTAAATGGTGAGGAATTTCTTATTCACAATCCCAGGGTACGTGGTGTACAGTTACACTACCAATTCGATAAAAAATGCACAGCTACCTGAACTTTACCAGAGGGTACAAGCAGTGCGCATTTCTCGATTTTTCAATAAGGGTCTTGGAACCGCAAATTTTGGCGCGGGTGTGAACCGGTAATACAATAAATTCTGTAACGCAGACAAGTTTCATAATGTCCCATTTTCTGGGCTTTGACCAATAAGCTTTCACTCACTACCTACTCCACCTTGTTGACATTTGCCTGTACGCGAACTGACGTCACTCAGAACCGCGCATAAAGGATCGCGCAGACAGATGCTGCCCCCCTACCAATAACAGTTTCGAAATTAATTTTTTAGAATACAGCAGTTCGAAGTTTGCACGCAGGTACGCAGGTATGCATGCAGATATGCATGCCCTCATTAGGTTGGTCAATTGACGGACTGCTAGTTCAATGGCAGGCAAAAACATACAATACGTGTGGACATGCAAGGTAAATTGTCAGCTTATCGGAACTAACCTGGTCCACAAACGTCTCAGTGAAACCTTGATAGGACAGCCAAGCGTGCAACTCATTTAGTGCCGACTTTACAGCCACAAGACCAGTGCTCTCGTTGACACCCTCAGGCCATTTAGCATACAGTCTTTTCTCCTTCACAACGTCAATATTATGGGGTACGAGTTCATCATAGCCTCTCGTGCTGCCGATGGCACAACATGCAATAGAACATAGGGCAGCGATTGGAAGGAAGTCGTAAACACAGTGTTTCTCTGCTACGCTGGGATTATCGTGGGTTTGATCGTACAGCAAGGCATGCGCGACTGAAGGATAGAGTTGATGATTGGAAGTTTGGCTGAAGAAAGCACCTGCCGGACGAGTGACGCCGTAACGGAAAACGTGACTTCCCAGTGCCTGTGCGTTGTGAGGTTGTAGAGATTCTGAGGGCAATTGGGTGAAGAACGTAGTAAACAAAAGATGGAACTTGGATTAAGGGTTAAACTGATCCCAAGGTGACACCAAGTGAGAAGGTACCGGCGGATCGAACGACCAAGAATAACCAACCCGGAAAATAAACGTAAATCAGATGGCACCATCGATCGCGAACTACTATCTACTCGTGTATAATAGGAAATTGTAAATCACCTTCTTATTAGCATGATTAATGTAGATATTAATTCTAGGTTCATCGTACACAAGAAGTGTGATGTCACGGGAACAGAGTGATGGCTATGTTTCGCCACTGCGTGGCCGAATTAAATCACGGAGAACTCTGGCTGCAGATATCACGTACTAGATTCACACGAGCCCTCGAGAGATCAACAAAAGCCACCACCCAAGTTCCAACCCCCAACCTGGAAAAATGTAGTGGTCAGAACTCTACTCACTAACAAACTGTGTGTGAGATTCTGTGCGTCACACGGGCACCCATCAGCACAACTCAATAGGTCAGGAGACAAGTAGACCATCACACCAGGGTAAGGTCCAGTCTCTTCAAGAAAGACTTACGCGAAAAGCCCGTACTTGTAACCTGGTTGGTACAAACAGGTCGCTAGTCAAAGGAAGAAGTTTGTAAAGAGCGACTAACACCGGCCAGTGGGTCATGGTTTTTAGTGCCCACTGCATACGACGTATACATCGTGATAAGACGAGTTGTAAGTTTTCGTGCTTCTTGGTACACTAAATTCGCGGATGAAAACCGTGCGAATTTCAGCAGAGCCTGTATACTAATGGGTGGGTTCGGTGGATTTGGAGCGCAGACACCGACTACAGCCGAGCACAAAAATAAGCCATCCTAGGAACCCGAATAAAACACCAGATTCTAAGTTTGAGTTCATCACTATCCACGCTCTTAAACGAAGATGTGCCAATACGAACCATAGCCCATTAAGTAACACATCTGAACGAACTAAATTGTGCGTTCAGGCTTCTGGAATGGGTGGTTTTTCCCCTAGAAAGTGTCAGCAATAATAAACGGATGACTTTGATAAACAGAATTTGCCTTGAACATGAAATAAGGACCTTTGCTGGTTTTTCAGCAACAACTAGACGAGGCAAAGTTGGGGTGGATGACTTTCGAAAACTAAAAGACTAGACATAGATACAAAAAAGAGAAAAGCACTTCTTAGGAGACATCTGCGGCGTCTATTTCACTGTAATATGGTCTTCGACAAAAGTGGCTTGCTGTAGTTGGGTGTAAAATTGGTTATGCTGCTAAATGTGAAATGATTCCACAGTACCCACAAGCTGAACGAAGCGAATCAACACCCAACTTGACATTGACCGGAGCAACATAGTACTGTAGTTATTGGCATATTTACTGCTGTATTCAAGTTCAAATGAAGGAAAACATACCTCGGATAAGTGAATTCAAGCCCAGTTTATTGATAAATATATTGTCCTGATATTCACTGTTTGTAAACAGTTCAGCAACAACGTACAGATCCGGTCGGACTGCACGAGCTCGATCTAGCATGTACTGAGCTACAGGCAGTGGGGTGCTGTGGCAGTTGTCCAGACGGACAGCATGAAACATCCGGGCAGTGATCTCGGTGTATTTTGCCATGCGATCCCATAAATAAGGACAATCTTCTCTTTTCTCACCGTACCTGGAAAGTGATAGTGGAAGTAAGAGGAACTGAACAGCGGTCAATGTAGCGGTTTACGAAGAAATACAGCAAGTTAAAATTTAAAATTAAAATTAAAAAAAATACTTAAGATGTTCACTACGGCCTCCCTTGTTCGGACATAACTGGCTGTAAAAACTGACCTTAATTGTTGCAACAACATTATGACGTGTGTCCCAGTATTATTAAAGCTAGTAATCGGGTTAGGACAGGCATTAGTCTGGTACGTCTATGGTTGAAACAGTCGCCCCGTGTACAGTTTTGGGTAAAGGTATGTTAATTAATTGTAAATTTTTGAACACCAAGTGAGGTAGCATTGTTGGGGAGCAGTGCTAATGATTGTGCAAACCGGTCGAAACAACCACCGAGGGTCTGGCCCCTAACAATGCATTGGTAATGTTACCTCGACTGGTGATGGAACATTTGCAGTTGGAGTGTCTAGTGTAGCGAACAATCTAACAACCAATTCTAATTTCGCTTCATAAAACAGTAGTCTTAAATGGATTCAAAATCAGATGACCCCAGAGCCATACTTACCTGAGTTTGACTGAGTCCCCCCAAACTATCAATTCGCGTCGCAAATAAACATTCGAATCGGACTCCGCGAAGTTTTGCAACGGATTAAAGTTCATCACCCAGCCGTTGAAAGCCATAACTCGTGCCGCATCCGGAGTTTCCAAGACCGCCTCCGCTTCCTTCACAGTAGTCACTCCAGGCACCGGTTGGTAGAAATAACTTGAGAGGAAAAGGGAGACATGCAGGGTGTCCATAAAGCAGAATCCAGTGAACACAATGTTGATATTGAGTATTGAAAAGAAGTTCTCCAATTTTAGGTTTGAAAAATTTAGCAAACTGATTACATCGGTCCACAGATGGCCTCTAAATCGGGCAAGCATGATATTTTCAATGAAAGTCTCATCCTGTAAGTGAAGCCAATCTAGGCCGAGAAATGGAGAAGCACTGTGCAGCTGTGTCATCCTCAGTGGGAATCATCAACAGCGCGCGTCTCACCAGTCTCCCGGGTGACCCCAACGAGCAACTTCATAACTAGTAGCCGAAGACCGAGTGCCACGAGCGGGTGATCACCAAGGTGATTAAATCGCGCTTACACAAGATATAGTGCCATTCGTGGCCGAACTACTTGATGTTCACTTCCTAGTTGTGAGAGTTCAAATCAACCTGCATATTCGTGAGATGTGTACTGCTGGTGATTCCCAACAGGGATGACACAGCTGTGCAGTGTGTTTGTCGGTTTTTCAGCATACAATGACTTCACTTATAGGACGGAAACTCCACTGGACATTGCCAAATCTTTTCACACTGCCAACGAACATGAATAGGTCGACTGTTCAGCAAATTACTGACACGTGCTTCTAAGGTCATTCAGAATTCTCCTGGTATTAGAGGCCGTCTACGGAATCTGATGGTGGAACCGGATCGTCGGTCATAGACGGCGACCATTTCAAAGTATTAGAGTCGACTCGTCCTACAACAGGAGAAAGTTGTAAAGTATCTACCAAATCAAAGCTCAAAATATGCCTGGCCATACCATCGTCCCAATTCCGTCCTCCGTCTCATTGTGTAAGCCCCTGTGCGATGTTGCAGTCGACACGAATATGTACTTTGCTTTGTCCGGTCGTCTGCGACGTTTAAGTTTCCAGGATCAAACTTCCAAGTTACCATTTAAGGCAGATGATATGTTCCGTCCTTCGTACAATAAAACTACAACGGGAGCAAGTGATGTCTTAAGCGCTGCATCAGTACCTAAGTGGTTTGAGGTTCAAGCTCTGGAAGTGAAAGGTTTTAAAGAACTGAGATGAACGGCAGTACAAAGCCCTGCAAACTTACCCGAACGGACCCATCCCACCAGCTTAAAAGTAAAATGTCCAAACAAGCACAATCTTAGGCGGTAAATAATGAAGTTGAATGCAAGCTGATTGCACTGTACGTACTGCCACATGATTGGCGTCTCTTCCGTTACAACACCCAACTTCGGGCCATAAGGGTCGTAAAACCGATAGTTGGCGTTCGCAATGACGTTAGCCACAGCGGCACGCAGATGTTCAGCTACTTCCTGTCGTTTGGCTGTATTCAGTTCCTCCAATTTGTTCCTTAGGCGATCTGCAGCAGCCGTAGCCCCAGCTTCGGTGAAGGGCATCGAATGATCCGTAACGCCAACGAACAATTTCCGCGCAAGTTTGAAATCAACTGTACCGCCGAATCGACGACCTTTACGTTTCCCAGCAATCTTCAGCACCAATGTGTCTGATTTGGATGTATACGACACCGTGTCCAGAGAAGATTTGGCCGACACTATGATAAAATATAGGATTCACAGAATGAACACAATTCACTTAACGGTAACTAGATACTCAGGAGCATAAAACCATCAACCACTGTTCAGTGAACAAAGCCAATAAACATTAATTGCTTCATCGGTATACCACAACCCACAGACTGAATATCTTAAATAAACCCGAGGGTCTTCACAGAAGGGAGGCTGTACAAAGGATGTCCAAGATGCCACGTCCAACATATTATGTCAGATAAGGTAATAATGAATGCACCCAGTTGTGTAGTGGGCCAATTATGGGCATCAGCATGTGCCACCATTTAGATGTACTTCTGCTGATAGAGCGATATTAGCCGGAAATTGCATGTAACGTGATACTCGAGGCACGTTTGTCCCTCGATATTAAATCTGAAGTGCTGTTGGTCGGACCTTCAAACCATACGACAGCATATTGTTAAAGACAAAGAGAGGGAAAGGGGCGCAGAAGACCAGACATTCTATCAAGCCGAAACCCTCAGGAGGCATCATCTCCAGAAAAATGAAGTCGATCATCACGGGCGTGAACCGTGAACGGGCGTGCGAAAGATTTACAAACGGCCAACCTCTTGTCCCGCAGTTTACCTCGCATGGTGATGATACAATCTAAGTTGAACCATACTTCTGGAATGAGTCGAGGGCTCCTGGACTTGGACTCTGCAGGCTGACGCCAACGAATCCGCAACGATCTGATGCTGCAAATTCACTTGCAGAATGGACCTGGAGCCAGATACTGCGGTAGCTTAGTCACATATTGCGCAAACCAAGTCATCGAGTGCGTAAATCGGTAAGCAAGTAAGGATGTGGTTGATCTTCGATGCAGCCTAAGGGTTTAAAATTGATAACAATATTGTCCCTGCGACAGTTTTCCAGGGAGGAGTCCGCGAAAACTTCTCTGTGCTTGTCCAGAGACGCTTCAGTATGTTATTGATAATCGGTTTCAACAGCATTTTTGTTACCATTTCCCACCCAAATTGTATGACTAAGTGTCTGAGGGTTTAGGCATCCCACAGTTCACGTGATATGCTGCCAATGACTCCTTCCCTTCTTTTCTTTTATGTTCTTCAAAATAAGGCTTTCAAGTGAGTCAGGGCTGCATCATAGTGTAGTATTCATGTTCAACAATGATGGTAAAAACCAGATAAGATAATTATTACGGAGCCATCAGAAAATGGAGTGGCCGCACAGCCACACAAAGGAAATTCTATTCAAATGTGATCACTTACTCATTCACCCACCGACATCCGCAGTTGCTCGAACAAACGGACAAAGTTATTATAGTGGAGATAAGTGCGACCCGCAATGTTTACAAGTACCAAATCTTTAGCCGAGATGACCACAATGGTCGCTGTAGTGAAAGAGATTTTGTTCAACATTTCGCCCAAAAATTGTTTTAAAAAATTGTTCAACAAACCACCTTCGATTCCCTGAACTCAACCGAGGTGTGGAATCATCTCAGATCAGAGTAATTAAGACAATACACCGTGAAATGACGAATCGATTTCACACCTAAAGTCAACTCACTCTTTCATTTTCCATTACTGGTGGTGTTTATAGAAGACCTACCGTCATTGGTTTCGTCTTCGCTGCGCAACCCACACCGTTCTCGAAAACGCTACTATTAGCTACACGAGTGATGACAAGAATGTTGGTTGAAAAGCAGGATTTTGGGGTTAGAATGCGTTGATAGCCGCTTTGACGGTAGCTGGCATCCAACCAATGCAGAAAACATGGGACTTTCTGACATCAACATCGGTGGCAAAATATTTTTCCCATCAAAGTAATATAAAATTTTTGCACATGACTAGCTAATACCCTTAAGGATACCTCTTATCGGCGAAACATCCGAAGTGTACATATCACCACTGAAACCCCACTGAAATTGAAGTTGGGACGTCCCTCAGTAGTTCGCAAAATATCGCAGCGGCGCAAAGTGCGTCATACATACATTTAAGGATTGTCGCGCGCTCTTGAGCCTGAAGCCTGGTCTACCTAAAACGAGTATATTAGGAGAAACAATGTTTGTCGACGATGCTTATTCCGCTTAACTGGGAAGGATAAATGCACACTCAGTTGGCTAGCCCACATGCCAACTGAGCTCGAAAGTTTGAGGTTTCCACAGCAACTCGGACGAAAACAAAAACAAAATGTAGCAGAATAACAAGATGGAGAAACCCAAGGGCGCTCAAGGTACCTCATTCGGACACCTCGTGTGGAATTGCTGGCCCGAGTTAGTCCAGAACTCGAAGCACTTAATAACAGAAGAATGGAAACGCGATTTCATCTTACAACGGCAGACCGTATGGAAGAAAGATTGGCGGAATTTTATGCCTAAGACAAAGCTATTGTGATTGTTGTGTTAATTGGATTGGGTCAACCTTGGCAAAGGGATTGGTTAAAAGCGTTCAGCTGTAGCACCCTTCCGGTGCCTAGCTGCCATGCCACCCGAAGGGAGCACGAGGGCTGGGATACTGCCAGGTTGCCCAAGCCTAGACAGGGGAAGTCGAGTGGCGGAGGTCGGATTCGAACCGCGGACCTTCAGGTTAGTAAATCCGCGCTCTAACCACTTCGGCCATCTCGCCTTGTTTTCTTGTTTTGAGATTTTACATTTTGCAACCCCTCTAGGTAGTATTTCAATTGTTATTAGTTCCGCTCACCTGTCCTGAAGAAGAATTCAGCTATGAACCAATCTTAGCCTCAGGAGCACGATAAGAAACCTACCAAAAAACACTCGTAAAGGAAGTTATTGCCAAGTACAGGAAAAGTATCCATGTGCACAACGACACAATTGAAAGGTGGAGCATTTACGTTCTTCTGGGTTTCGAATCAAACACAGAGATTATCCAACAAGAAGAATCCGGAGGAAGTGCAAACGAATGTAGTTTACCAGCCTCCAATGAACGAAAAAACAGTATAATCTTGAACTAAAAAACGCCACAGTTTGTGATTCAGTTTTCCGAAGACAAACAGACCGTAATTCGATCTGTAGCACAATCAAGCTACGAAATACGAGATCAAAACAGGTCACTTGAATGGTTTTTCAGTCATTCAAAATTCGATACATTTATTAACAAGTTCGGAATATTACTATAATGCGCACAAAAAAGTTTGAGACTGAGACACTACCATCGCTTACATAACCAGGAAACAAATTCCTTTTGCACGAGAGCGACATCAGCTAGGAAAAATTCATCTAGCCGTGCACTTTCTATCTGTGTCGTAAGCCAATGAGAAATTGCAGGAAGTTCCCGATCCGGATTACTGAGTACTTTTGGAATTCCTTGAGCTTCCAAAGCCCCTGTGCTGGCTTCCAAGGTGAGACGCCAAACAATGAAGTCCAACAAGTAAGCAGGGACAAGATGAGGAGAATTGACCACATTGTAAGCACACTCGGGATGCTCGTGAATCCAAGGGCTGTCATTGGAAGTGTGGTTAAAAACCAGGTCTGTCATAAACAGCACGGACCACTCGCTCTCCAAACGCTTTAGGAAAGCTTCAATGTCGGGCCAGTCAACGGGCTTTGCAGCCCCAGGTGGTGTGAAATTTGGGTTAACTTTCAACTGATCCCGTAGCGAGTATGCCGAACCGGAATAACCCAACTCCTGTAAAGACGTAAGATGTAAAACGAACTTAGTGATACTGGTTGTGAAGTTAGAGCGAAAAACCTACCAAGGCATTTAATCACATGCCATGTCGAAATCGAGTGCCAGTGTCATCAGTGATAACTGATCTGAGCTCACATAACAAAATCACTATCTCTAGCGATCCGAGCAAAAATAAAAAAGTGCCACTAACATTCATGTAGTGCAGCTTCCTGACAGAAAAATATGGAGGATGGCCTGAATATCCAACGGTTCGCCGTGAACACCGGTGCACCATAAAACACCGTAGAAATATTTTTGAAAGATAAGAGTCCCGTGAATTTAAAAAAGCACGGGACAAATGGTGGTCGCCAGGATTTCCCCTCGATCTAATTTTGTGCAACTTTGGCATTAACATCGACCAACAGACCGTAAACCCTGGTATTGAAAACACATCTAGAAAGATTGGTGGGCTTGGATTATGTGGATGACAATCTGGTTGCCTAACGAAAGTGGGTTAACGTGGGTTATTCTTAATAGAGTATCGGAAATTGTCCTTTGGTAGGTTCTGCACCTCAACCGAGAAGCTTTACTTCAGGTATACTTATCTTAACTGTTACCAAAACCGCTGGCATATATGACTTTGAAGCCAGGCCTCTCCAATATGAAGACCACTTCAAATAATTGATCAGCGAAGTACTCGTAGCATACCAGGCAGCAGTGGGGGCACTCACTACTTACACCCGAACATGCCCAATTTTTCTTGACAAAATAGAAGCTGGACGCAGAGGGATCTTCGGCCCATTTTGGTTTGAGTCTACGCAAGTATTCTTGTGCGTTGTCACTGAGCTTGCTGTCATCTAGTTCAACTGCACAGCTGATACCCGTCTGCTGCATCCTGGGTTTAATAAATAATCGTTCAACCGTAACACCCTTCCGGTTGCTAGCTGCTATGCAATTCAGTGCTGAGATACTGCCAGATTGCCCAAGCCTAGGCAGGACCAGTCGAGGTACCAGCTAGAGCCACAGATCTTCCGAGCAGTAAGTTCGTACCTTACCCATTGAGCTATCTTCTACTCCATCCTGGGCGTGTGTTGGATGACGTTCGCAAAGGATTAGTCTCGCACATGGCGTCCGCTCCCAAAATACTGCTCAGACGTTTTTATTCCTATAATTTCGGTGTAGATACCTTGCTAGTGACCGTTTGCCTTAAACTGGAACTTGACGTAAGTTCCCAGCAATCTGCATTTTCACTTTTCATGGCCTTCGTCCATTGTCTTATGACGATTGGTGGCCAGTTTACGATATAGATGCACTGTACACTATGATGACATTCTGCGAAAGCTTGATTATCGCAGCAAGTTTTTCAATGTTATCAAAACGTGATGGATGAAACAGCTCCAGCTCTACCCGGTCTCTGTGTAACAACCACCTACGCACAGAAGCTTCGTTATTGCGAACGCAGCGTATTTAATCAACACCAACCGAATAGTTATTTATTTGAATAGAGGCATTTTCTGACCGATAACCTACTGACGATGATGATGATGAGGCCCTACTGTAAAAGTTCAACGTTCATATGCTGCTGCTTTTGGATGACTGCACTTTATTCTCGTATTCTGTAAAGGAACTGAAGAAGACCACTATGGCCTTCGGTTCACCGGCACCTCGCCTTGACCTGAAAATAATAATAATAATAATAATAATCAGCCGTAACATCCTTTCGGTGCCTAGCTGCTGTGCCACCAAAGGAAGCATAAAGACTGAGATACTGCCAGGTTGCCCAAGCCTAGACAGGGGGAGTCGAGAGGCAGAGGTCGGGTTCAAAACAAGCAGTTGAGCCGTCTTGAAAATAAGTGTATCCAAACCAATTGTCTTTTGCCAGCCCACAAAGGGGGTGAAAAGAAAAACCAAATGTAAAAACAAGCTGTTGGGAGGTAGCCTACTATGTGAATTTCCGCTGCCTTAGCAGTACATCATTCACAGACTCAACGCCTGGAAACGAAACGGACACGCATTCCGAGACTCAATATGTTATTTGGTCATCTTGAGAAATTCATTCATAGCAATCAACACTGGCTAGTGCGGATGCAAGACATATCCACGAAATCGAGGTTTTTCGCCGCTTGCATTTGAAGCACGTTCTGGATGCGCAGCATTCGTCTCAGTGACTGCCGCATTAGCATCCCATGTGTCTGGCAGCTGGTGCAACTGCGATGACTTCGGTGGTGCAGTGATCACTTGAAAACCCGGTAGAAAACTTTGCGAGCTTGCACTGACTCCTTCACCATACATGAAGTACTGCTGCAGTCTTGAGGGCCACTGAGAACTCGGAGTGTATTTCCGGTTTCGAAAGGTTCGGTATCAACACGGGTGGGTCTTCTACCCATATAAAATGAGATTTCGAAAACAATCGGTGTGTTGCTGTGGCCGAGACTCGTAGCTCTCCCTGAAACTCATAACTGAACCAGCAGCAACAGCGGGGACGAAATCAGTCTGTCGACTTACTTGGACCAGGCTTTGCGCTGATACCACAGACAACAGTATCAGAGACAGTGACATCAACGTTGACACTGACGCTTCATTGCCGCACAATCATACAGCTTGTAGTATACGGTGTCTGTCAGTCCGATTGACTTATATGTAAGTATTGGTGATGTACAACCTAGTTTACTGGGCTTTGGCTCATGAACTATGTTTGTTTTCCATCCACAAAAATTGTCGTGAACACCTGCCTTCGGAAAATCAGTCCCCCGGTGCTTCCATAGCGTGCATGCTACAAGTTCATTCGACTACATTTAGAGCGAAGGTAAATGACAAGGACAGAGAAAAGGCCCGCTGCTAGTATACCGAAAGCATCAAGAGATGCCTACATCGCCCAGTGCCCCATCAAATAACACGGAAAGAAATTAAGGGCACGAACACCACCGACATCGATCAGCCACCATTTTGAAACGTGATCATTCAAGCGTCGGCGGGGGTCACGCGAACCCCATCGTGGAAGGCAAGCCGTGCGAACTACACCTAAACGTATCGCAAGGTCGTAGGTGGCCTGCACATACGGCATTGTTCTAACACCCGACGCGAAATGATGATGTGGTCAGTGCAGCGCATAACGATGCATATACGTGGTGTCCATGTTTTGTCGGACGCCAGAAAAGGAATTTATTAACATGTATTTTCCACCTACCTGAAGTGGTGTAAAGTGGATCATATTGTAACTGCCTTCTTTGGCTGTCATCAGACGGGACTCCCATTCCGTGAAATACCCCAGGTTCTTTGGTATATACGTTTGCACCACGACACCATCGAGCTCCCATCCTCTCCCAGTGACATCTTCGTCCAAATCCGGACCCGCTGACCGTGTGATGAAATGTGGATCGACGGTCAAGTAACCGGTTCCAGCGACGTTCGATTTATCGATATTATTATTCGGTGAGCCGGGAACGCCGCCATCGGTTGAGAAGTAGAAATGAAAGGATCCAGAAACCGGTAGAGGCGCCAGTTCAAAATAGTTATCGAAACAGTCAACAGATCGTCCCGCCAGTGTGGGGTTTATTAACTCCAGCTCACGATATTCGTTACGTTTGAATGGCTGATTCTTTTCAGTGGGATAATTAATGAAAAATCTGACCGTCTTCCCAATCAAAGTAACATCTGGGACAAAATGAACCGAACAATCTAGGAGCGTCAGTAAGAAGTGTGCGCATTACCCTTTTTTACTCGGTAAAGTTGTCCTTCCGTGTTCATTCCATCAGAAATGATGAACTCGACAACGTTTCGCATCTCGATTCGGGCAACTTATTCAGGTCTTCTTTCGAAAAAAATCCACAGTAATAAATTTCCAGAGTGTGGAGAGCGGAGTCCCCGAATCCACTGGCCGTTTGCGAAAGCAGACGAACCTATAAACCAGACCCGAGTACCTGATTGGTCCAAAAATTGTCACGTGAGGAGCGAAAAAATTAGCGTCACGGGGCTTCCTTACAGCTATTGACACATATCCGACGAGCTGGTATAGAATCTCCTGTTTCTGCTACCCACACCTAGAATATATAGTGCAAAGGTAAATCACTCACAAGATCGCACATAAATCACTTTGGTTTAAACGAGCGCGCAATCTTGGCTGTGGAAAACTAACCAATCAGTTTGCCGAATGTCTGTAGGCCATTTGCCGCCTTTCAACATCGAGAGAAGTTGGAAAATCGAAAAATGCGCTCAATTTTCCACACAAATTAGCAAGGCACTAGTGTATCTTTTGAGCATTTAAACAAGAATTATTCTCCCACACTTCGTTAATAATCCACTGATACACTGTAGTGAGGTGCACTTCCAAGGCTGTTTCCTGCGGGTTTCAAGCGAAGACGAAAGAGCAGCAATTCTTGCCTCGTGTGACCCTGCACCTGGTTTCAAGTGGTGTCTGACGAGAGATAGGGCGTTTCACAAAATGGAACTGAACTTTTGAAAGCTACTATATGTCCCTGATGGACTGAAAGACAGGCAATTGGGCTCAAAAAAACGCTCCCAACTTTTGATCCCCATCCAGGTAGCCCGGGTCCCTGTGGTCCTAGGAGAGTATTTCAGCGGAATTTTTCCGACAGAATTATGATCGCTTAAGTGGGCAATGAAATTCGGTGAGTTGCAAAAACTCAGACATTGACCAGGATGCTTTCCAGTTTGAGCACATATGCAAAGAAATGAAACATTTTGGCGCAAACTGTTCTATTCTACTTATAAAGGTTTTCGCAGATAAAAGCATTGTGCAGCCAAGGGGCCCCGGGCAAAGCCTGAGCATGGCTGTTGATTTAAATGCCCGTGCAAACTTTGCCATACCGTGATGCCAGCAATTATATCAGGTCCAAAACGCTCACCATACCCAGTCGCCCGCCATGGAACTGTGTCGGTAAAACAACCTTTGGCCGCTACGTTGTCTCTGAGACATGAGGGGAGGTCGTGCTTGTATCCTAATAGTTGAGTAAGGGTGTGCTGCTAGTAATTCTTGAGTGCCGCTTGGTAGGGCCAATTCACCTGAGAAGACGGGTGCGTTTGCCAGATAGAACACAAAGCACGGTACTCGACGCATGTGGCAAAATAGTTAGATGCTCCTCATAGCACAAAAATCTAAAGTCGTTCCAAAATTATATCGGTTGAGAGACCTAGTGTGGTAATCGAGACTTCCTTAAATGTAGAGGAAGAGCTTAGGGTAAGCAACGCTAGCCAAGAGGAAATGCAACCATTTAGCACCAAACGCTTGCAGAATTCATTCGCACGCAAGCTGAGTTTGAAGCCTCCAGTCCCTCACCGGAGCTCCGCCCGGGTATGGCACAGCGCATTCGCACATTATTGTTAGTCAGTGTAGCTAGGACAATCTCGATGAAATATTTCGAGATGTGCTCGAATACGAGAAAACAATATTTGCCACCCACCTACTCAATTAGAAGATACGAAGGGGAATTCTGATATAGGAGTGATCCTCACGCATGTGTGTCAACCAGTATACCGTAGGGTAAAGCATTTTTCATGAATTATTCTGGCTGTAGAAGAAACTCCACATTTTATCCATTTCAGGCAAGTAATATCCTCCGGGAAGCGCCGATATCTTATTTCACCAGACCGTTTTCCATTTCGAGGCATTATCTGACCTCGATTGGTTCCCTCATCTAAATGAATCATATGTGCAGGTAGTTTGCAGAAAAACGCAAGAAATCTTGTCCATTTGCCGGATACCGAACGACAGAGGCCATCCCAGGATGGACTACATTATTTACTTTTGCCCTGTCTTGCGTTCGGCTTGCCCGAGAACGAGCACGCATACCTTTCCAAGTCTAAATATGCTGCTCGCGATTTCAACCGGCTGATGCGGCTTTGATTGCATATGCCTCCTTCCGTAGAACTTTAGCAGCTCTTTATGATTTTCGAAGACTTTGGAATGAAGAGAGCATTCAAGCGTGTCTGGACATCTTACCAAACAACCTCGGCCACCATTTTGATGAACAACAGCTCATGGATTCAAGAATTCATGGATTGACAGATTGATTGAAGTACGTATTTGAAGTGAGCCAGACACCTAAATTTCTTCTAAAATCCATCTTGCGGTATTCTGGCCCATTCTGACCACACACGACAAAGTTGATCACAGGATCACTTCTGAACTGAAAATGGACGCTCTTTCCGTCAGTCAGAACAAGGTGCAACATAAGTGGCCACAGCATTGCATCATCTGCATCCAGCCGGGTGGCGCTAGTTATGGAACTCCATGATTTCAAGTCGTCCGCAAGAAGTGGGTGTGGACGTGAAAGAACCCGAGATTGTTAACGTGTAGCAGAAAAAGAAATGGTCCCAAAGCAGAGCCCGGTGAAACTCCGATGGAAACTGGCATCGGATAATTGTTGTTCAGGCCTACTTTCACTAGGAATAGTCTGTCAGATAAGACGTGTGTGAGACCATATTGCATGATTATGAGGAGTGAAGAAATGTGATATCCAATATGATTCCTCTGTCCTAAGCTTGAGTTAAGTTGTCCATAAATAAAAGAATGTTCGTCACACCGGAATGGTTTAGGAGTAATCCGTGTTTAACTATGAATATCAAGTTGTTAGTAGTAAGATTATCTAGGATGGCCCCTAGCACAACGCGTTTCCTCACCTGGCCCGGTATGCTGGTGAGGCTAATAGGACGATGGTTGCGATGGTTGCTCACCAGTTTCGTAATTTGGCGTGGCAATCGCTTCCATCCGAGGGGATGGAAGCGACTGAAGTGACTGAAGAAACACAATATGGAAATGCTTTGCCAATGTAAGTGACGTTTCTTCGAGGATTCTTGGATGGAGATCTTCCGGTCCCAATATACTGAAGGGCTTTGTTTTGTGTGAGTGTTGTCCAATGTCCTTCCCCTTGAAGACGAAGTTAATTGGAGGCCGTTCGTAGTTAAGCCTTGCCAAGAATGAATATGATAATGCCGCTGGGGGTAGAATACAGGCCGGCATAGTTTCCCCGTGAAATTTAGATACCATTATTGGACAAAATTTCAGTTCCTCGTTTCTGTCCCTCAGGAAGAAGGCGTTTGGCTTATTTCCTTGGCGCTGTTCCGTGTACTCAAATAGCACAATCCTGTTTTTCCGGGTGTGATCTAGTATTGAGAATAGTCTTCGCATGTTCTATTTACGGATCTCTCATTTACAGCGGTTCCGCACTGTTCAAGCTCACCTTTCACATTGCATGTAGTTAACTTTTGGAAAAAATTGTTTAGACCTCTAATCCAGAAGACGCCAAATCCTTTAGGTGGATTTTTGGTCAGTCCGACCTTCTCTGTTTTTTCGGGACAAGCAATGCGCCAGAATAATGATTCTGCAGAACTCTCACGCTGGAGCTAGTCGTAGATTAAATTGTTGAACGGAGCTGCTCATTTCCGAGAAACCTGCACGGCAGAAGTTGCAAACCCAGGTTTGAGGTTCCTGGTTTCCTGCACACTAGTGATGAAATAAAAGATCAGCGTGCAGTTGTCTGCATGTTCTTGGAGATATTCAATTACCACTTGATCATAACGGAGCGCCTTTCGTTAATGATGACCAAATGCAGCTAGAATGGCAGTTAGCCTGCCATTGGTGCAATGAACCAGGTGGGACCTAGCACTCTATTTAAAGTCTTTGGTCAACACCGATGCCAAATATCCAATGGTCCTGATTCGCTGAAATTCTTCCCAAAGAGCTTTGAGAGCGATAATATCACATTTACATAAGAGGTGTGTGAATTGGTAGCTTAAGTGATTATATGAGGAGGTGACTATCCTCCGATGGGCACTGGACAATGGTAGGCCAATATGGAAAGAAGAGACTCGGTCCAACGAAGCTAAAGTTGATTCGAAGGTTAACCACATACGGTGCAAAAATGGTGCGGAAGAGAAGAATTAAGATGGACTGGCCAGCATTTAGGTATAAAGTGACTCCACTTGCCTTCCTACGTTTTGAATCAGTTGGGAAAACATGGAAGCTGTCGATCGAGATCTCCACGTTAGAGACTTCTGGCATAAGCCAAGTCCCCGTAGGTGCGATTGTAGGCGCTATCAGCTGCCTAATATCACATAGTTTGTTGAAAAAACTGACCGCATACACAGTTCAGCAGAATCCCTGCCGCGTCCGGAATTGGGAATCCTAGAGTTGTGTTGCCGGAGAGGCCGGCAGATTTATTAGCTGTACGCCGGAGGGACTGTACGCACTGTAATTGGAAGAAAAATGGATAACATCTACTCAGTCTTTTTAGAAGGATTAACCACGACTGAAGAAAATATCGAAAATGTATGCAGTGCATCAAATTAAGTACAAACCAAAAGCCCCGAAACTTCCTAGAAATGGGTAATGACGTGCGTCATACGATACGGAATGTCGGAAAACACCAAGGTCAAAAGTATGTTATTCGTGCTCAAGGCAGCATTTTGAGTCGTTAGTTATACACAAACGGAGATGCTCGCGCATTTAAAATGCTTTCAAATTGTGAAGTAACTCAACGGCGATTCTCATACGCACCCCTTACATTTCTCAGATAACCTAGTCGGAACAAAAAATAATCATCATGGCGTTAGATTATTTGATGATATTTATTCGAGCTCTGAAATTCATTCCATGCACCCGCAGCTTTCATGAAAGTTAGTTTAACGGAAAAGCGGAAAAGCTGGTTTCTCTACTTGTCTTCTGTGTTGGATTTGAAAATATTCTCAAGGCCAAATGAGCAACAATTACACCCTTTATGTCAGCGGAACATCAAAATGGAGCAGACATGCGCGATCTGAACAAGAAATTTTTCTATGC